CATCTCTACTTTTTTTTATTTATCTGGGGTTTATCTGGCGTTTACAATGAAAAATTTATGATTTCTATACAAAATTAATGACAAATCACTGGAGATATTATTTTTTATTGACAAAACAACAATGGGAGGTAGAAACAGCTGTAAATCAATCAGTCAAAACCCACTCGTCTGCTCTGCTTGACTGTTGAGTGAATCTTCTTCTGTTTGAGTCGCTCCTTGTTCCTCTTTTCTAACCTGCACGACATATATCTTGCATTAGACACATTGACTATCAAGATGAACAGAAAAGAAAACAATGTGCTCTGATACGAGGTCATACCTGGCTGCCCTCAGAGCTACGTCTTCCGCCGTTGGTTCGTGGGGTTTCTTGCTAGCTTCTGCGATAATGGTGGAAATCTTCTGTACGCAGTCTGAGAGGTTTCTGTGCTGACTCCTGCTCAGCTCTGAGGTCACCAGCAGCTCTCCGGCCTTATTGATGCGGTTTTGGTTCTGTGCCACAACGCAGAAAATGAGTATGTTTGCTCTCTATGGTTTCACAATGTACTGTAAAAAAGGTACAAAAGTACAAACAGCAGCAAATACAGATGCCATTCCAATATAAACAGAACTTCTATGTGTACTGTTACAGACTGAATATGTCATTCAAACATTCACAGCGTAGGTTGGAGAAGGTGTGTGAATCTCTAAACTAATGATTTCAGGCCTAATCCCAATAAAGATGGACGAACATCAATAGAGCCATTCAGACCAGACTTCCAGAGAATTCATTGATTATAAAATGTCATCCAGTCTTTATCTAAGTCATAAGTATAGATAAACACAATGTGGTGTGTAACAACACACAATTATACTGTATTTTTCATATCCACCTGTGGAGGTGAAGGGGCGGAGAGAGCACCTTCACCTGCACCACAGAGGATCAATCAGCACAGGTGAGAGCTGTTAGCTGATTGATCCTCAGACTTTAAAAGGAGGCAGCAGAGCTGCCTCTGGGGGAAAATGCACTAAGAGACGCTCAGAAGACACTCGAGAGAAACACACTGGGGAAGGATGGGAGGAGAGAAGGCGTTTCGTTCAGTCTTTTATTACTCTCACAACTGAACATACACACTACAGCCTACTACAAGAGACAGAACCAGGTTACAAGCATGCTTTTATTGATTGCCCTGATTACCTGATTCTGCCCAGCTGTCGGGATCACCAGCTGAGCCACTCCTCCCTGTTGTCCAGCAGTTGGCGCCCTAACCATACCCCACCGCCACACCACCGTTTACACAAATGTCAGTGATGGACACTGTCCTGAGGCCACAACATTTAAAAACAAACCTTTTCAAAGATTTTCTGTCGAACGTCCTCTTGGATCCAGTCTGCTGTTTTCACGTGGAATCGAACCTCAGCTTTTGTGCTGACTGTAGATTGAGATGACATCACACAGGACATGTCAAACATACACGTACAAAATGACAGTGTGCATGACAGAACACATCGAAGGTCCAAGGCCTTGTAGACAGTGTCAGGACTCATATGTCGTTTTGGCTGTTGATATTATTGTCCATTATTTCAATCAACAAAGTCAAACATTTGAACCTTTGTTGACATGTTGACCACCAGGACCACTGCTTCTGCTGTAAGACACGGTCAGACGCTCTACAAGCAAGAAGGAGAATAAAAGCACGGTTTAAAAAAAGAATAAAGTTACTTACTTGTTCTGTTTTAGTACAAATATATTTGTATTTACCCACTGGAATGTGCACTGGAGTGTCCTGAGAAAGAAAAATGAATAAATAAAAATCTATTGCCATACTGTACATAAAGGATTTAAGTCTTATAAAATTGTATGATTTTATTTGATCATCAAGGGGAAAACAAATATTCTTCCAAATCCAGTATGTATAAATATGCAGTTGTTTTCACTCCTGCATTATATGTGTCTCAAGGACCCTGTGGAACGATGTGGTGATGTTGTGAGTCAATGTATCACTGCTAATAAAAAAAATGCATATGGTTTAACCACAGTGTTCTAGTGTGATTTGTTTACCTGAATGAGGTTAAGACCTGGGTTAAATATAGTTCACGAGCAATACTCTGTATCAGTCTGCGGACCACTGGTGGTCCGTGAGCGACCCCTGGTGGTCCCAGAGGTGACAAGTAACATATCATGTTTTAAAATTTTAAATGTCAGCGTTTTTATTTCAGTGTTTCTCAAACTGCCTGCGACATATATGTGTTGTTTTCAATATCAAATGAACTAGCATGTAAAATCAAAACATATGTTTTGTGGGATTGTCTGACTTGAGCAGTGCAGTAGACCGGTTTGCGACACCGCAACCGTTTTACGTCAAAATAAGTGTGACCCTGGCGTAACTTCGGGATAGTGCCTGTGCAAAGCATGGATGTATGGTGCAAAGCATGGATGCATGGTGCAAAGCATGGATGTATGGTGCAAAGCATGGATGCATGGTGCAAAGCATGGATGTATGGTGCAAAGCATGGATGCATGGTGCAAAGCTTCAGATGAAAATTCTGACACGACTGGAAAAGCCGTCGAGCCCCAGGATGATGGTTTAACGCCAGCGACGTCGTCAAACTCGACATGAACGTGAAAAATGGTCTGGAAATGTTTGAGAAACACTGCTCTATATCAATGACAGTCCAGGTCATAGACGGCTCCATAAAGGTTTTTATATTAAACAAACTGAGAGTTGAACGTTAAACCGATGATCGTTATAGCAAAGTAACGACATGTCACTAACCTGTGTTTCGTCTGAGTCTCGGCTCCCAAACCGAACACTCGTCTGTATCGTTTTGTTTTTGTCTCCTGATAGAACCGTGTTAGGTTTCATCTGCCTGGGAAACACGTTTGTTCCTGCGACGCGACAAAGTAAATAACACTGTCGCACTATGGGCGCCGCCATGTTGGTGTGACGTCATTCTAACGCAGGCCAAGGAAGAACTCTGTACCAAAGACACTGTCCGCGTGAACATCTCTCCTTTCGTTAAATCTTTTACAACAATTGTATTTGAATTTGTTCTGAAGTATCGATGTCGTAAAAGGCCCAAGATAAAAATGTCAAAACTTTACTAAGTGTTCACTGTGGTGGAAAACAAGGTGGAAGAATTAGAATAAGAATTAAAATGCCTTTATTGTCGGAGCAGGGGTGTACAATGAAATTATAGTGCCACTCCTTCACAGTGCAAACATATAGTATGTAGCTGTATTGCACAGTGGATGGGTGGGTATTGCACATTAATGAGTAATGCACAGCAGTGATTATTGCACAGTATATGATTAATACATATGTATTGTACAGTGGCTGGGGATAAAGTCTGTGAGTCCGACTGTAAATCAGTGCATGTTAGAGTTCAGGGTGGTTGTGGCTTTGGAGACAAAACTGTTTTTGAGTCTGTTTGTCTTGGCTTTGATGCATCTGTAGCGCCTGGCCATAGGGCAGCAGGTCAAACAGTTCAAAGCCAGGATGTGAACTGTCTTTGGTGAAATACCCATTAGAGATAAATAGTAAAATACAATACCACCAAAATGAAAATAACACAATGAGCTATAAAGCATCAATTAAATTCAGCAGTAGTCTTTATTGGCTGCTTTATTCTATATATACTAGGGTACATGTAGAACAGTGCAGTGCTTGTTTTTATACATTTTACCTTGTAGATGAAAATATATAACCGTAACTCTCGATCCCGCATCATGATTCTAATGTGAAGCTGTCAAAAGGTCAGGTTCCACCGAGATTTGAACTCGGATCGCTGGATTCAGAGTCCAGAGTGCTAACCATTACACCATGGAACCACTGTGCACACGTGTGTACCTGAAAACAATTATAAAGGATCTAGATGAATTCAAACAAATAAATACATTTGATAATAATAATAATAATATTTTAATAATCCACTTCTGATCGCCTGATCCTAACCCGCTACGAGCAGGGACTATTGTTACGTGCCCGTAGCGGAACGAAAAAAACGGAACTGTCATCGGACGGTCTCTGTTGCAATCGGGTCTCCCCAGCGGTCAGACACTTGGTTTCTGAGGAAAACAAAACAAACCAGCGCCTCTATTTAACCATCGGATTGTATTTAAACATCAATAACTAGCAGGTACCGTTCGTTAAGAAGCCAGGCGTCGGTATAGAAACAGATAAACAACAGTAGCCTTTGTCGAACGGGATTAACGATCATTTTCTCAGAATAGCTTGAGAGTATTTTTAGCGAGAAAGCTAAACGTTACGAGATAGTCACGCGACGGCATACATTCTGCTAGCTGTCGTTATCTAACCCACATTATCCAGCATTAGTCAAACTAACTATTTGTTGACAGATCGTGGACATCTTAGACTCTGACACACACAAAGAAATAGGCAACGTTGGCGGAAACACGCCCGTCTTCTTCTTAACCCTATCTTGTAGATTACACTGCAGCCAGGAGTCACCTGAGGTTTATTGAGCAACATTGCAAAGTAGAACGTGACAAACGTAGCTACGGCTCGTAAAGTGTAGCTCCAGCTCCTACGGCTGTGAAGTCATGTATGACGCGAGCTGCCCATTGCTCAACAGCGTTCTGCTCAGCTTGTAGCGGTGGAGAGGTTTGGTTTCCATCACTGGGAGATTTCGGCTCGTTTAGCTGCAACATGCCTGGGATGGTGGTGTTCGGTCGGCGGTGGGGGATCGCCAGTGACGACCTTGTCTTCCCCGGCTGCTTTGAAATATTCGTCCGCGTGCTTTGGTAGGTTGCTTACCCTCTTACGCGATGTTACAGCAGCAGTCCTACTTATAGGTTTAATAATAATGATGAAACTCATTGACTGACCTGTTGTCTTCATCTGCTGCTGCCTCTCCTCAGGTGGATTGGCACTGTGGTCCTCTACACCTACCACAGGGGCCACTTCGAATGTAATGGGAAAGGAGTCTTGCACACCTACCTGGTGGGACTGCTGGTTGTGCTCGGGCTCATCATCCTGTCATTATGGGCTATTGTCTATGTCAGTGCCCAAGGTAAATCAATTGTCTTCTACATTACGTCTTGTGAGCATAATGTTTAAAGGTGGTTAGACCTCAGTAATCCGTACTTTCACTTTATTTCGCCCACAGCATCAATAGTGTCCAAACTTGTTTAATCTGGGTTATGCAATCGAGGAAATTTGCAACCCGGTTCCTCTTTTACTACCTTGGAGAAAGTGGTGGGAGACGATTGCTCAAAGTTCACTATTTTGTTACGGACACACACTTGCACAAAATGTACAAGAGTGCCATTTGTCATATTTATGCAGCTGTAAACTTAAATGAAGGAAAGATCGAGTTCAGGTCAGTTGTTGTATAATAATATGTATATGTAAGTTATTGCATATTTTCCAGAGGTGAGTAAACAAACAGTTGTAGGTATCAGATATTGTTGGAGGTTTTTTTAATTTTTGATGTATTGATTGTACCGTGTTACTTTCATGAGGCAGCTCCTTGTTGACTTAAGCCTTGATTCTGATTGGTGTTCTAACAGCACATCGATAAAATGAATTTCAAGCAGTAATTTACACTGACGTCCTTTGCAACGTCACAATCTTCAGCTGCACTACAGCACACAAAACAGCCATCTGTCAGTGGTGCGAAGCACTTTGTTTCAGTGATATCTATGATCATTTCCCAGGAACCATCACAAACCCTGGCCTGCGCCGCTCTATCCCTGCCCTGGTGTACCTGCGAGCTCTGCTCTACATTCCTGAGCTGGTGTGGGCATGTCTGGGAGCCGTCTGGGTTTCTGACGATAGCAAAGGCTGCGATCTTGCCACAGTGGGTTCTGTCATCGCAGCAGTGATTGCCAGGTGGGTTGTGATGCCATATTTGCATTTTAGAATTAGAAACAAGTGTGTGTGTGTTTTGAGACATCATCTTCCTTTCTTCATCACAACAGCTGGATCATCCTGCTCTTTACGGTGGTTGGCGTGGTGTTTGTGTTTGACCCCCTGGGTAACCCCCGTCCTCAGCCCCCTGCCATGGAACCTCTGGGAGTACGAGACATGGAGAGCACCGAGGGCACCCAGTTCTTCTCCACAGCTCGCTCCATCGCCACCAAGGTGTGGGAGAACAGGCTGCGGCTCCTGTGCTGTTGTCTGCCGCAGGATGAAAGCAACCGAGCGGCGTTCTCCAGCATCTCCCAGCTCTTGAGCGGATTCTTCTCGGTAAGAGCTATCTTCACTTTTTAGGACGCAGCCTTTGATAATATTTATCTACAAATTCCAGAAATCTCAATCTGCCTATTCCATGCATATTCCAAGAACCGTTCATGTAACCGGTTTCACACTTTACATTTGTATTGTTAAGGGCCCAAAGAGGTGTAGTATTGAATTTAGTGCCATTTGAACATGTGATACGTTAAATATTAATAAACTTTAAAAAAAAATGTGACCAGCGCTCTGTAGCACTGGAGGCAGGGTCTCATGAATGTAAGTTTTTTATCACGACTACAGCACATTAACAACAACAGCAGTGACAACCGATTCTCCAATTCAGGGTTCTACATGCTGAGATGAGTTTAACCGAACTTTGACAAAATAGGTGAACAGCTAAGGTGGTGCAGCTTCAGGGTTCTGTGGACTAAGTCCTGCAGCCGGTCTGTTCTCTCCATGGCTCAATTACTGCAGGTCACTTTAACACTTTCAGAAAGAAATCTGCAACCAGCATCACTGCCAAACAAACAGCTCATTCCAAACAGGCAGGTTTCCAACAGGCACTGCACTAGTAATATATAATACACAGAGAAAGACGAAATCAAATTGCATCGTTTGAAATGTAAAGTAACTGATAATGCCACAAAACTCATTATAATATGCTTTCTCTGTGTTTATTTGTGTGTGTGTGTGTGACAGGACACAGATCTGGTCCCCAGTGACATAGCAGCTGGTTTGGCTCTGCTGCACCAGGAGCAGGATAAAATGGAGCAAAGCAGGGACCCAGACGAAATAGTGCCTCACAGTCCATCCTCTCCCATTGTAAGTACCAGAGCCCGTCAGTCATGTAGCTGCACTAGACATCTGACCTGGCATCAGTTCCTACTGTAACTTGTCTTTTATTGTTTTGAAGGGAGAAGACTTGGAGACAGAGTTGGAGAAAGCAGCTCACTGTATGCAGTTTGCTGCAGCAGCATATGGCTGGCCGCTGTACATTTTCTCCAACCCCCTCACTGGGCCCTGCAAACTCAGTGGAGACTGGTAAGATGAACTCTTTCTGTCTGTGAGAGGAGCTGCCAGGTTAGATTAGTTAAACCCGCTTTATAATAATAATCTTATAGATAATGTTCATGTGACAGCAGATCATTTGGCAACTAAGTTCATTTCAGAGCCACAGACAAAAAAAACGTTTAAACTTTTTACACTCAATGCAACTTTTGCACATTAAATGTTGAACAGCCCAAGAATGAAATCATTCATTAAGTAAATTGTTATTACAGTTTATCTTTTTGTGTACTTTTTTCACATTTCAAATAGCTGTACACAGCAACAGAGGTGCATCATTGTTGATCTCCTATTTTTCTCTTGTAGCCAGAGATAAAGGTTACTAAAGTCTCAGGATGGTAACTCACATGTGTGTATGTGCGTTACAGCTGTAGGAGTCATGCAGCTGAGTATGACATCGTAGGAGGAGACCACCTTGGCTGTCACTTCTCCTCCATCCTGCAGAGCACTGGTTTGCAGTACAGAGACTTCATCTATGTCAGCTTTCACAACCAGGTAGGAATACTTCTCTGTGTTTTAATTGTAGACGTCACTGCCCCTCTGCCAGTGTCAGTTCACCTCAAACTGTGTGCTCATAGTCTGTTAATCATCTAAACAAGCAGGTTTTTTGTTTTCAGATCTATGAGATCCCCTTTTTCGTGGCCCTGGATCACAAGCGAGAGGCCGTTCTGGTGGCCGTCAGAGGAACACTGTCACTGCGGGTGAGTTGGAACTAGATGATAGCTTTATGTTAGCTTTGTGTTGTTAGAACACAAACTGGGTTCTGTCATGTGAACTTGTGAGAGGGGGATGTAGATAATTTTCCTTTCTGAGTAATGACATCTGCCCTTTCATGTAACTGAGGTACATTTGTAATGCAAATGTTGTCCTCCCGTTTCCTCTTAAAGTTCTGTATCACATCCCTGTTTGTTAGATGACAGAGTAGAGTCTAAGTAGAGTGATAAATATAGGTGCCATTTGGTCGACATCTCCTTCGGAAATAAAATACAGAGAGGGAAGTGAGAGTGGATAAGTGAGGCCACATGTGAGTAGTGCATGATCAAACCTCAAAACTCTGAAGGTAAAAGGTTATTGTGTTTGACAACAGAGGATTTCATTCATTCAGTACCAAACTTTTGTGTCTCTCCCTGAAAATGGAAAAAAAAAAGCCTAACCCCCTGATACAGGCGGATGTTTCAGTCAGCGGTTCAAACGGTGTGTGTGAGAGAGAGACATCTGAGGGTCAGGAGAGGATAGGGGACGTCTCAGAATGGCAGACATGTAGTGGATTAGGGGTTTAGTTTCAGAAAAGATCAGATTTCCATTCATGAACAGTTGCATGTAGCAGAGGGCCGCCCATCTTTCATGAGAAGGTTTCTAACCTTTTTAAATATTTATAAATGTCATGATGGAGAGACGTCCGAAACAGCTGACTCTATAAGCATGGGCCCTGTGAGGTCCAGGACAGTTTGAAACACTAGGTGGCGTTATGAGCCATCTGTAACCCATAAATGAAATTCTTTTATAAATTTGTTAGGAAATGTGATTTTAAAACCAGCATCAATGTGTTTCTTCAAAGAACAGTCATATAATTTAGTTTAACTGCAGTGCCACATTCCCAGTGCATTGTGTATCTCGGTGTGTATGTCCTGCAGGACGTCCTGACAGACCTGTCTGCTGAATGTGAGAACCTGCCTATAGAAGGAGTGATGGGAGCCTGCTATGCTCACAAGGTAAATGCCCATCTCTTTGGTGACAGTCCTCATGTCTTAATGTGTAACGTGTTCCTGTAGAGAGTAATGCTGCTGTCCCCCCTGACTAATACAGGGCATGTGCCAGGCAGCCAGTTACATCTACAAGAAGCTGGTCAACGATGGCATCCTGAACCAGGCGTTTTCTGTCGCACCGGTAAGAAGTGACGCTGAGCTGCATTTCAGCCATAGAGGGCGTCGTTATGTTTTATTTCAGTTGGACCCCTGCTGGCAGATCCTATTTGGAGGAATGAGATGTTAAGATTAAAGTTTTGTTTGTTATATGCAGTTAACACAGGGTCAACAGTACAATTAAAGGTGTTGGACAAGAGGAAACCGGTCAGCTCAGCAATGCAAAAGTTAAATCAAAATAAAAGAAACTTGCAAGGTAGATAGAGCTTAATATAAAAAAAGTCAAATACAATACAGAACTAAAAGTATAAACATTCGAAGGTGCAGACATTCGTTGCAAATTAAGTAACCATGATAATGACCATTGTCTTGTCTAATTTCAAACTGAACTGTATTTTCTGTGTGCAAAGGCTTATTATTAAATTATGATATTTGCAGTTTATTGTCAAGAGCATCAGATTTGCGGAGAAAATCCCTTGTGAATAATCTTCTGAATAACTATGCTGTGTGTTTGCTTGTTCTTGTGTTTGCAGGAGTATAAACTGGTCATCACTGGTCACAGTCTGGGCGCTGGCACAGCTTCACTGCTCGCCATACTCCTGCGCAATTCCTTCCCCACCCTGCAGTGCTACGCATTTTCTCCACCAGGGGGACTCCTGAGGTAAGGAGGAGAGAAGCTGTAGACAGCGGGGAGAGTAAAGTCTTCAGCTGGGTCTTATTTTACATAAAATTAGCCAAAAAGAACCCTAATAAAAATATAATATATGAATAAAATTTTATCAATTAACAAATAGCTGACAGACCTGGACAGCAAAATTTGATGTAAAAGGTGATAGGGATTAATTTTTTTTAGAATGGATTCGAATTCCTTTGATGGTCATTGCAGTACATCAACAGTTATACCAATAAGTATTTATAGAATAATAAACTATAATAAGAAATTAAGAAATATACTGAATGATATGTACAGGTGTAACTTATGAAAACTGTAAGAAAGCTTATTCTAACAGTATTTGATATTTGAAGTACCAGACGTGGTATTTGATCGGTACATAGATTCTTGCAGTATCAGAAGTATTTCAGATCAGTATCAGAACATCTGTATTTGGAATTAATAGATGCATAACTATTGTTAACAAATGTACTTGTTGTACTCTCCCTCCAATGTTTTCTTTTGTGTATTTTGTGCAGTAAAGCCTTAACTGATTACTCAAAGGACTTTGTGGTGTCTGTCGTGTTGGGAAAGGATCTGGTTCCCAGGTAACACCGATGCCTTTCATTCCTCATATACTTCTTAGTTATTCCATCGTGTTGAAAATGAATCACGAGCAAACATTGTGTGATACCTGCCAGTTTCTTGAAGCAGGTTATGTTGACATTGTGCATTATTTAAGGTCAATTCGTATTAGCAGCACTGCAAACTCTTGTCTCCCAAAAAAGGCCAATATGAATGTGCTGTGGTGCACAGACTATTATAGACTGTCTTGTGATGGAGATTCTATATTTGGCTCTGCCCTGTTATTACAGAAGGAGAGTATGACTCGCATGTTCCTTTTTTTTCTGTGCTGTATTTGCCCTTTGCACCCTCTATGTATTAATCCAGCTGTTCTCTTTATTTTTGTTCAGACTCAGCATTCCGAACATGGAGGATCTGAAGAGAAGGATTCTTAAAATAGTTTCAAACTGCAATAAACCCAAAGTAATAACCGTTCAATGCAGAGTCATATATTCTTCTCACAACAGTAAACAAAGTTTCTCCGAACTTCATTATTCATCTTTTTTTCCTGTCTGCGTCTCAGTACCGCATCCTGCTACAGGGATGTTGGTATGAGCTGTTCGGAGGAGACCCGGATGATTTCCCCACGGAGATGGAAAACAGGAGGGAGGAGGAGCTCAGCCAGCCGCTGATGGGGGAGGAGTCACTGATGATTCGCCACTCATCATCCTATCAGAGCCTCGCCTCAGATGACTCGCCTGCCCACAAGGCAGTTAATTTACCCCTGTTCCCACCTGGACGCATTCTGCACATCACAGAGGACGGGCCGTCAAGGAGGTGTGTCAAACGATTCAATAGAAATTCATAATTTTCAGGCTTAGATGAGTTTTGCTTTGCTCCTCCTACTTTAGCAGTGCTGAGGCCGAGATGCGCAATGTGGCTCCTGCAAAATAGTGTCACACATGAGGATGTGAGCATTGTCATTAAAATGGTAACTTCAGACATGTACTGAAAGAGTCAAGCAGGCAGGCCAACCTTACTGCATAATCGGAACCTTTGTCAAAAAGTGGAGGAGCACGCCTCATGAAATTCATTTCCTAATGACCCTAAAAGAATGTTTTTTGGAGTGTTGGTTGAAGAAAACAAGACGTTTGAAAACGACCTCTCGGATTGGACATTTTTCACAAATTGTCCAAATGAAATGAACCAATTTAAGATAGAGTTGGTAATCCTGTTAGCTCTAGCAGGCTACACTTCAAAACAAATGCAACCGTCCATCCCACCCCCTCCCCATGGCTGTCTCGTCAAAACTCCGCCCCCAAAACACATGAATGTTTACTTACAGAAAACTGCTAAAAGCTGACTCTTCTATTAGGACCAAAATAAATTCATGTTTGTGTTTATTACAGTTTATAGAGTGTATTTATTGACGGCTATCTGGACGTGAAGAGGATTTCAACAAATGAAATAAAGTGGAAATAAATTACCCACCCTACCTTGAATCCGAAATTGGCAGATTAATCAACAGTAAGAAATAATTGTACAGTTGCTTTATTGTGCAACAGACACTTCAACCACAACTTCATGTGTTTCATCTCTTTCAGATGAATCTGCAGAAACTGTGACCAGTTACATGTGTTTGCAGATGCTGACAGTGAAATCAACAATGCGATATTTAAATACAGTACAAACTGAAATCAAGATGTGTATCAGCATCTGACTTCTGTGCATTTTTCTTTCTCTGTCTCTTTCTTCAGATCCTGTTTTTCCCAGGCCAGGTACCGCGCCGAGTGGTCCAATGAAATGGCTTTCAGGAGCATTCTGATCAGCCCCAGGATGCTTTCGGATCACATGCCTGATGCTGTGCTTCGAGCGCTCAACAGTCTGACCAGAGATAGGCCCTTCTCCCTCTGCCCGTCGTCTCTCAGCATCAGCCAGCACAACACTATCTGACGTGTCCCAAACACACTGACTCCTTGTCCTGTCTGCTAAGCCTACTACTGTTTATATAAATATGTAAGCCATTTGAGTTTCTCCTGATCCAGGATCATTTCAACTACTTCACTCGGCCTGAAGGTTCTCTTTACAACCATGTTGGTCCCAGGCCTTAGTAGCGAGCTTTTTAAGTATAAACATTTGCAGTTGATTGTAATGAAAAATGAAAACACATGAAAGATGTATCTGTTGTGATCTGCATGAATGAAAAGAAACATGCCGGAGCACCAGGACTTGATTGTTAAGTTGCACTTTTAATTATTTGATGTAAATAATTTGTTTTCTCCCAGCTCTCCGAGTTATTTCAAGAGCAAATCATGCCATGATCTTTGAATGTGCATTGTGCCGTTGTAATGTGAGTGTTCTACATCTTATGTTTGTATGTGCGTGTTGTATGTTTGGTGGAGGCTGCCCCCCCTCCTCCTCGTGCACTCAGCAGTGTCGGCTCTGCTCTTCCTTAAACGTGGAGATGGCTGAGGAGCAGCCTCATTCTGTGTGAGGAGGTTACTCTGACCTCCACATGTGGACTTCAGCTTCACATCTCCATTGTATTAGTAACTGTGGTTAGTCTGTCCTGTGTTTAACGTCTTGAGACATCAGGGTGAACAGTGCCTATGCATTACAAAAAAAGTCAGAATTGTTTTTCAGAAAGACTGAAGAGTGCTGTGTGTTTACAGTAAGTGGTTCAGCATTTTTCTCCAATGCAGTTTGAGTAGTGCACAGTGTTTGGTATAAACATGATAGATGTAAGTGGTAGAAAGATTGTTGATTTTGTGGAAACCTGTTTACTTGCCATGGATATTGCATATTTTATTTCAGGTAATATATTGTTTAAATAATAAACTGATGCCTGCATAACTATCTCACATCCCCTATGAAAGGAGTTGGACTCGTCAGTGCGAATAAAAGCTTCTCCTGAAGTGCTCTTTATCTGTTTATTATTACCCTCGCCAAGGAGGTTATGTTTTGTCTTTTTTGATTAGTTATTTAGCAGGATTACTTAATACTTGATGGATGAACAAGAAACCTCAAGGATGTGGTATGGGTCAGGGAACAAATCATTCAATTCTGCTGCATAATATTTAATAATTTCAAAATTGTTCTTATATATTCCAGAAACATCTGTATGTGGAACACATATCTTAAGAACCTGTCATCTAATGGCCTTCACACTAGGCGTGTTAGCCCAAACAGCAAACCAGTCAACAATAATATCCAGCCTGCCAGCACATTTTGATACTTGATTATTTTGTGATGATCGCTGCCACGGCAGAAACATTCATAGAATCACTTCCTCTTTAGCAGTTTGTCTATCAAGTAAAAGCACAACTTATCTTTTTAAAGTTGTGAACTTGGGTCTCAAGATTGTGTCGGTTGCTGAACAGACCTCTGACATAACCAACAAAACACTGACTATAAAAAGCTCTTGCAGATCAACCAGGTAGGATGAACAGAACATTTCAAACAAACATGTTTAGAACAGGTGCTGCACTAGTGATAATGATAGAGATAGAGGAAGTATGGGCTCTTCTGAGTGCCATACTAGTTCTCTTCCTAAAATGATAAGAACAAAACTATGATCTCTGAAAAAAACCAGTTGAACCAGTGAAAAAGGGAATAAACTTTTAAAATCTTAAAACAGTGAGATTGATCTCCAGACTGAAGCCACATGAGCCAACAGGGGGGCTGTGTAAACAGTTAGAAATATTTGCAATAAACACATCTCTATGGATTACTCAGTTTGCCTTGCATCCCTCTTTAGTATGTGACGTCACCGCGACGTCCCGTCACTGACACGTGACACATTCAGGTGGTGCTCGTAAGCTCCTGTTTCAGAGGTGGGACACGGTTAAATTCCACTGCGGATAGTTGATGTATGCAGTATTAAGAGTTAGCTCAACAACAGATTCCTACTGTTGACTGTGAATGAGTCCTTGTGAGAGAGATGAGCTCCAAACAATAACTTTCTTTTTGTTTACCAGGGAGGTGAATGTGACACATGACAGCGGAACATGCACCGATTTGACGTCTGATATTTACGATGTTTTTTTAATCAGTAGATCCCCGCCCCTCAAACGTCACACAACAGAAATTTATGAAAGCAACAGGTCAGGTGAAAATATTCTCTCAGTTTATTTACTACAGGGCTGGCAGCATCTATTTGTGGTGTTCAACGCCACGCGTCAACATCGCTGTGCTGTTGCGCGTCTAATGATTTTAATGACGCGTAGGTTTTTTTTTTTTTTAGAAAGCATCGCATTCTCTGTGGAGCTAACTACTGAAAGGTTTCCACTTTCCGGACAGCGCGTGAAGGCACCGGCAGGATCATCTGTTGGACAGGGAAACTCACCAGGAGCCAAGTGAAGAGTTTTCAGTGTCGCTAGCTCTCAGGCTAGCAGCGTTCAACTCAGCCGTCCGCTCAGCTCCGGCACACAGACCCGCTGGAAACATTTATAAAGTATAGAGTCGTGTCCGTGCGACTAACATCATGCGAGCCATGTTTTAGAAACTGTTGTTTTTGTTGCGCCTAAAGTGAGAAGGCGGACAGGACAGCCGCTGGCCAGCTGAAGCTCGCGGCTAGCTCGTCAACGTTAGCCGGGGGAGAGAGGAGCGGAGGCGAGTGAAAATGGAGCTGGACGACGTGGTCCTCTACCAGGACGACTCGGGCAACTCTGCCATGATGTCCGAGCGGGTCTCCGGCTTGGCCAGCTCCATCTACCGCGAGTTCGAGCGCCTCATCGAGAGGTACGGCGAGGACGTGGTGAAGGAGCTGATGCCGCTGGTCGTCGCCGTGCTGGAGAACTTGGACTCGGTGTTCGCTGTCAACCAGGAGCACGAAGTGGAGCTGGAGCTGCTGAAGGAGGACAACGAGCAGCTGGTCACCCAGTACGAGCGAGAGAAGGCTCTGAGGAAACACGCCGAGGAGGTGGGTTCACCGACACAGCCGCCAAACTAACTCACAACCCCGGATTACAGATTATCAACCGTGTTGTGCACTTTGATTTGAAGCTTGGACGCGGAACTCCATTCCAAAATGTGGCAACCCACTTTGGAGCTGCTGATCTTCTCCATATCAAATCTCATTAACTGCGAATAAAGTATATTTTTTATAAATCTTAGAACTCATTCTTTAATTCGGCACACCTACACACCCCTCAAAGTACATAATGGTTGAGCAATTACAGTTTACAAACTGCTTACAAAGTATTTGTATGTCACATGGTGAATTGAGAGAGTAAACATTACGCGCTAAAATCAAATCCGTGGAAAGAATCACCGGTGGATGTGCTGTTTTACGACACTTTTACGTTTCTAATATAAAAAGTGATCACACATATGAACAATGCTGCAGAACAACCTGTACCACAGTGTTGGTCTGTGTGTCACCATGGATGCTGCTCTCTGGGAGCCACTGTGACAGTGAAGGCTGCTACACTGGTTGATTTCACACACCACTCCTAGTTAAGCATGTAATATCCCAACAGTGATTTGCAGTCAAGCCTCAGGTATTTGCAGAGCAGTCACCGATTTGGTTTTGAAGCAGTGGCTTTGTGTCACTCCCCAACTAATACAACACGTTAGACTTTAGGCTGATCGCTGGAGCAAGGATCCTATTATTGTCATTGCGCAGAGCACAACAAGATTATTTTCAACAGTCCAGGTAGTGCATTCACACAACAAGCAATGTTTACATGAAACACAGGCAAAATATCCGTTCTCTAATATACTTGGAAGGAATATTTGTGACTGAACAATAAGTAGGTAAAGATTCCCCCCACAAAAATACTTATTTTGATTCACAAAATCCAGAATCACTGTCCAGATTTCTCAGTAACGTGGAATAAAATGAATTTTTCGCAATGTGAAAAAACTCCTGGATCTGCCCCCTGATCTGGATTTTCACCATAATTTAATGGCTTTGTTCCCTGACCCATAACACACCCTTCCTACTTTATTGTAATGCTATGGTTTTGTGCGTTTCTCGCTTAATTCCTCGTGACTGTCCTGTAGTCTGGGTGCTGTCTCTTGCTACATCCTCCTCACAAAGAGATCTGACATAAGTTTTGAATTCACAGACAATAAGCATTTGTAGAATCTGTTGCAAGAAGTGCACAATTTTTTTCTATGCTGGTCTATCAGGACAAACATAGCTCTCAGCTGTGCTCCTGTAAATACATGTCATCATGTTTCCCTCTCGCCCTCAGACTAACAACACCTATTAGCATTGAGTTCCCATCATATCCAAATATGTAAGAAGATCTCACTTACTGTACTGTAACAAAAACTTCCCCACACTAACAATGCTATGGTGCATGATCATACAAGTGATAAAGAGATTGCTTGCAATGTGTCTCAGGAATCATTAAAGTTAAACATTTTTTTTGTTAATTTACAAATAGATAGCAAGCAAAAGACAATAAAACCTTAAACCATGAATGTTGAACCACAGATTTAAATCAAGGGAAGTTAGAAAGAAAATGGCATCTCTCTTAATGCAGATTTAAAATGTATTATTATTATATTTCTTAAAATATATGTAGCTGTTTATTAAGTGTCATTATCTCCCCTTGAGAGAACTCAGAAATGAAGTGAGAGCAGTCTGTTGGTTAGTAAACCAACAGTGTGCACTTTCCATCCAGGTGGTGATAGACTCTGATGTATCTGCACATAACTGTAAAAAGGAAATTAAGAAATCTGAGTATTAATTACTTCATAATGTTTTAATATGGCTTAAACTTTATCAGATATTTGCCCTTTGCTCTTTGGTGACTGCTGCTGTAGCCTCAATGCTTAGTCACCCTCGCAAAAATCTTTGGATCACTGTTGACATGTGTTATGTTCATGCAGTAAGACCTTGAATATATGTTTGGGTCAGGGTTTATTTTCAGCTCAATTCAGACTTTTTGAGAAATATGTTCCCTGAAAAATAGGTCACCAAATAGGTTTCAGAAAAAAGATATTAAGCCTTACTGTTAATAAAACCAAAATTCCAAAATGCGTGTCTCAATGAATTTTATTTAGTTGTGATTTTGTGATTTCAAAGCTGTAACACACTTCTTCTCTTAATCCTCCCTGGTCCTCATGTTAGGGCATTATACGAACAAGCAGCCCCTCACTCAGCCATCTGTACTGCAAGGGGTTTGCGCTTAATCAGCCTTATTATTTTACCAGCCTTCTTACGCTTCTAATCCCAGCAAATCAGTGGTGGCCAACGTGGTTTAGACTGGAAACAGGATTAACATATCACAGAACAAGATAAATCAAACAAGTAGCTAAATATCAGGATTTGGACATCACAGCCAGATATATTCATGTGCTGTTGTAGTTTTCCAGTTGTTGACATTCGATTTGATAGTTACATGTTGAAAGACAAGCACAACAGGTCACACAGCAGTGTGTTAAGTCATGTTGTAACATGTTGACACGGCTTTTACATAGACCAGTACATGTGGGATTTTCCATTGGTATGTTATGGGCTCATCAGTCTTTTCCCCTTTGGCTCCTGTGTGTTAAATACCTCAGTCGGACAGCCACTTAGTTTTCATGTTGCTGTGATCAGTATTATTCTCATGAGATGATGTCATAGGTCTTGTCCTTTGACTTGACATCCTCTCTGTAGTCGAGGTCAGCTTCTGTGCATGTCAGCACCGGAACTCGAATGAATAGTCATAATTCAGGATGTGGCATTTATGGCTATAGTATGTTGTGACTGTACTGAGATAAGTTAATACACAGAACAGTTTGTTTTCCCAGCCATTCTATTCAGATGTGCAGTATTGCTTGGTTTAAAGGCAGGGTGTGACTTTGTTTTTGTTATATTGGTGTCACTACCCCATTTTCTTTGTGTATATCAGGAAAACCAGGAAACCAGCTCAGAAATGTGACCAAGCACTCAATAATAATGAGGAGCGTATTTACACATTAAGTTAATCCAAAAAATGCAGTAGCAATCAGCAATAATTGATGACAGTTGTTTCTTAAGCGTGCAAAACGAATGCAAACTTACCAGGGGCTCCCACATTTCCCCCCAAAAGTATAATTAACATTAAAATCTGACTCTACCCTCATGAGCTCTGTGCAAAAACCATCCTACAGATGAATACATCTTGGTGAATAATATGGGCAGTACTGTAATGTTTTTCCTGGGTTATTCTGTTTAAGTGTAAGTGTCTGCAGCCAATCCTCCACCAAGGTTGACTATACTGCTGCTGCTGAATTCTCTTCTATATGCATCCTTCTGTCCATTGCAGTCCAGTTTTATATTGACTGCCAAATGCAGAAATCCACATCCAGTCCACATACGCAGGCCCTTTTATTGGGTCAAAATGTATACCATTTGCAAATCACATGGTTAAACCATCGCAACAATGAAATAAATTAATAACCCATTCAGACTCTTGCAATTGAAAGTTTCTCCGCAATACGAAAGTATTTTTATACTCGAAGGAGGCAAATGAGTAGCCTGGCACACACTTGAGTATTAAGCTTCTCATTTGGGCAAACGTTCTCTGTAGATGCAAAGAAGCAGAATAATCTTACCAAACAAAAACATAGCATGACCAAGTCCTGCTTTTCCCTGCTCCAAGTCCAGAGGAACACGTTCTTTTAAGTAGTTTGTTAAAGCAGTGTAGAGGAAAAGGCAAGGCAGGAAATACTTGAGGAAAAAAGCAGCACTTCCCTTAGTTCTTCTGTCCAGTGAGGGTTGTCTGCTGACCAGCAGAACTACTTAGATAAAATGTCAGCGATTATTCCTTCCTCTTTTTCATCCTAAGATATTTGTATTCTTTTTGTTTTTTCAGTTTTGCAATTGTTGCATGTTACAAATGTCATTACCACACAGACTCGCTCGTAGTGAATCCAGTGGACTTAAATCGTCTGTATTCTCTCTTGGGCTCACCAGGACATTCTCTTGAGTTTTTACCAGGGTGCTGGAAGGAAAAACTTGGGAGAATTCCTGTAGCAACTGACTTGGACATTTCCATTCTCACACATAGCCCCTCTGGTAGTTCCTGGAGAATATCTGGAGTTCATTGCAGGTTTGAAAGCAGCTTGAGACGTAAACAACACCGCTGCTGAACATCATTAGTTAGCATTGTCGCTGTGACTGACAACACTCTCCCAGAGCTGTCACAGAGTCTGTCTCACTGGCTGAAGTCAGTCTAGTTTTTTATTTTTTTTATTTGACAACCATGTTTATCAGCAGCTTCAGTTCTCATGATGACACAGAGCCTCTGGACAGTCACTCACAAGTCACTTGATCACAGTAGGCCAATAAGTTCTCATCAAAATGGCAGTATCCTCATATCAACCTTCATATCATTGACCATGTCACAATAATTTTGTTATCCTAGAACTAACTTACCTAGAATTAGACACACTGCACTGGTTCTTCTGTCAGTTTACTGTCTAGTGGCCGTGGCCTTGAAGTCTACCCCTGAAAGTGTTTTGTGGACTCAAACACTTCACCCACCCCTCCATCGGCACAGTGGTGAGTGGATAATGGGTGATTTTTTTTATTTTTGGATGACCCATCCCTTTAAACACTCTAGTGTCCCCAAATGTCCCAATAGCAACCCACAGCCAAAAACACTAAGGGAGAGTCGATTTCACTCTCTCTCAATTGAGTGCCACTACAGTGGAGCTCTGTGTGTGTGTGTGTGTGTGCACATTTTCTGCAGCCATATGTGTTTGTGTGTATGAAAGTGTGTGTGTTTGCACTCAGGGACAAAGGGAGCCTTATGCATGAAGCACAGGGGGAAGAGTGGATGTTGAAACGCTGGAACATTCATTCTCTGGAGCATTGTCATATGCACAAGCCTCCTTCCTGGGTCATATGATGAGCTGCATGATAAGAAAGGAAGATGTTGGGACTTCTAATGAATGTGTTGAATCTGGAGGAGGGGCTGTTGATGTGTCATTCATAACACTATAAGCCAATCTTTCATTAGGGGAAGTAGGCTGCTTTTTATGGTTAATTGATGTAAGTTTAAGGAGGGGTGTCCAGTTTATCCAAATAAATGTGCAGGCAGCATTTTAAAAATACAAACCATGCCTTGTAATTTGATTTTTTGTTTTACTGAACACACAAACTGCTTTTGGACATGCAGTGAACTTTGGAGAATCTGCAGACATTCTCCGGAGGGACTGTAAATGAGAAAACAAATGCCAGAGTAAGAGTCTTTGGGGTTCTCCAAAATTTCTCCTGACAGTCCCCTATTAAAACTCCTTAGAGCCCCTGTGAGTGGGTGGGTGTGTCCATTTTAACACATGACAGATGCAAAACTTAAAAATATCAAATATCAAAACTTTGCCATATACACAGAAGACACAGCGGGGAAGATGTCAAGAGCTTTTGGTCAAAAGTGCCAAGCTAGAGTCGATGTGCTGTAAATAAAATAATATATAACAATTATACATTTAATCATACCTTTGTCTGCTGCGCCACACCTCATCTTAATGCCCTGGAGATACTTGTATTGTTGTGAATATGTCTGCTGCATCTCCTGCTGCATTTTTCACATATGAAAGGCAAACTCCGGAGAAAGTCTGCAGCCAATCATGTTGACATTCCCTGGAGTTTATGTCTGAAAACAGCTTTACAGTTATTACAGTCATTCCCTCCCCCCGTGAGCCCACTGCTATGTTCATGCTCTTAGTAGATTTAGATTGGAAATGCTGCTTTAATACCGCACTTCTTAAGATGCTCCCAACAAACTTGTGTGTTATTTGTTAGCAGTTGATAAAGAGAACATTCAAAGACGATTAATGGCAAAATGACCTCCACTGATATAATTTCCAAAGGGAGAGGAAAAAAAACATCTCATCCCCTCAAAGAGTGGATTGTGCTAAAAATAAAAATGGAGAAAATCAAAAACAGGCTTGGTTTTTAGGGACAGTTCACAAAGGCATCTTGAAGAAACACCTTTTGTTAGACACATCTAATCACTGTGCCTTGCGTATGAGCACTTGAAAGAGGGCCCTCAGGTGATCCTCATCTCCCTGTAGATGACTTCTATACCCTGCCCTGGGCCCGACCACATGGCCTCTTGTCCACATGAGTACCCGTATCACAAGACTGCATGTTCACAGGCATAAAAACTCTGCCTGTTGTCTGACGTGACTCAGCTGATTAGCAGGAGTTCAAGGATGGTCTCCTAAAAACACAAATCAACCTAGAGATCAACATAGATACTTTTATTAACATTGGTGTCCACCTTGGGTTTTAGTGATTTTCTAACACTTATTTGCTATGTAATGTGTTGTAAATTAACTTGTTGTCAAGCTGCCTTAACTCTGCTCCACTGAGTGGGTGGGGTTGATGACAGAGCCCGTGGTAATATTTTCTAATGCTTTCTTTTGGGCAACTGAAAATATGAAGTTAACTATCATAGAAAACCAGAAAATATTCACATTAAAAAGGGAAACTGTATTGAAATTCCTGCAGTAAGGCTAATGATAATGTCGGATCAGTATCTGTGCTGATAATGACTGATAACTGCTGATAATTGAGCAAAAATCTTAAGAAATCTGCCATGATGTTGAATATTAATTGGCTAGACTAAGATGGTGAACATGGTAAACATTAATCAGAATGTTAGCATTAGCATAGGTATTGTAGGTGGTATAGTTATTATAAGTATGACCCCCCCTCAATCTATTTTCTGAAATGTTGCTGACCAAATGATAATCAAGAAAATCAGTCAGCCAAATTAAACACTAATAAAAAAAAAGTGGTTTCACCCCAGCTCACTTTTTAAAACTTAATATTATATATAAATATCAACACTAAATAAACATGTTAAAGTCATTTAAGTCTTTGGAATGTTGCATATCCACTATTTATTTACTGTATCCAATTGAGAAGAGTTTTATAACATGTTCCTTCTCTATTGAGTGCCTTCCAGCAAAACTCTTATTTCCTTCACTTAATCTTGGTATTTGACCCACTTTCCAGAGTTTCTTCTGAACGTATCTAATCACACAGAGTAAATTGACATCAGGGAGCGGTGGTTGACCCAGTATTAAATGGATTAGGTTTGGCCAGCATGGTGGGTTAGTGGCCCTGAGACAGTTTAGCAAACTGAGACTCTTTTGACTCTGTCCCAGTTTATGAATATTAGTCTCATCATTCTAATGATTTTCTCCTTGTTTGTTCTTAATCAAATTTTTTCAGCCTTAAAAACAAAGTTCAGCAGAAACCCTGAAGTAATGGTGGGTAGAACAACCTTGACACTGATATCAACAGTAACTAACTTGCCCATCTGAGTGTGTCTTTCTCCACTCAGACACATTGTAGGCTGTAGCCTTTTCTTTGTGAGAAAGCTGGTGCTGTGCACCTGTTGTGTGGAGAGGTTAGATGACTTTAACAATGGCCAGAAGACAGATGCTGTGATACTTTGGTTTTCACTGGTATCAGCACTGTTAGCATTAGCAGATCTTTATCATATACACACACTCAAAACATTTGGCCTGCAAGCACTCATTCCAGTCTTAACTCTTAACATTGATATTTCCACGCACATACATGCATGTGTGTTATTTCTGCCTCCTGTTGCTGCCAATAACAAATCAACTTAACGCTGTGTCCTGTCGTCATCACCTGTGTGGCCTGCAAGTCTGATGTCCGTGTGGTGTCAGTTCGTGGGTAGTAGTGTTAAGTCTTAGTTCGAATGGAGAAAATGAATGAATCAGTTCATTTAGTTGCAGCTGTAAAGGTATGACTACCAGCATCACCAACTTCAGGCGCAGTACTTGACTAGTTCAAATGTGCCAAAGGAACGTCCTTGTCGTTCAATCATGATATCACCCGAGGTGAAGACTGCAGCAATCCTGTGAGCCACTTTCACTTCTTTTTATTCTTCAATTGTTAAAATTCAGTCTCAGCTCCTGCCAATTGGTCCGAAACGTCTTTTAAACTGCAAGATCCAAACCATAGTTAATATAGACTAAATTTTGGACTGGATCGTAGTCTGACACACTTGGATTGGACAAAATTGAAAAATATAAAGGTCTGGACAACACAAGGTAGGTGTGAAATCATTCTGAGTTCTCAGTGCGTCTATAGTAATGTGTGTGTGTTTCCCTTTTGTCTGCAGAGGTACATCACCCTCGAAGATTCTCAGGACGGTGAGAAGAAAGACCTCCAGCGTCAACTGGTGACATTGGAGTCTCACACACGTCAACTCGAGCTAAAGGCTAAAAATTATGCAGAACACAGTAAGTCCATCACATTGTGTGTCCGTGACAAGTTTTACTGTACTGACTCTACACAGACCACATACCCTGTGAGAATCACTGACAGTTTGCAGGTCTTGTGACTGTTTGTTAGCCTGATGTGCCAGAGGGCAGATAGACTTCCATGTCCCTACTGAATAAAATCCATTAGTAACACACTATGAGTGTTTGCCTGCCAAATCTGCTAAATGAGCTGTACTCGGGAAGACCGAAAGAAAGGGTCCGGGAAACAAGAGAAATTTAGGGTGCAAAGGATTTTCCTGTAGTTTTACGAAAAACATTTTATAAGTAGGATATTTCAAGGTGATACAAATTGCTTAATTGATAAAAGATACATGTACAAGAGTTTTTCCAAAGAAGGAGAGAATGTAAATGTAAAGGACGGTTCAATCTTCCTTGAGTCAGAGTGTCGCCCTAACAACCCTCATGATTTGTGCATGACTGCACTGTTGACATTGTGTGACTGCTTTTTTGTTCCACTGCAGAGTCGTAACATACGCCTTGGTCATGCTAGCGGAAAACTTGAGACGCCCAGTGAATGTCATTTTATTTCTATGTGACACTTTGCCCTTTTTTCTTTTTGAGACTTTCCTTTGTCTGTAATTATGGTTAAGGACTGAAATGATGGCAGTGACTTCCTAAGCTGTTTGATCATGTCAGTGGGACACACACATACACACAAGTAAGACACAACAAGCCTTTTTAACTATTTGTATGTTAATTTTTTTTTAGACTAATATAGTAATTTTATAATTTTATTTATATAGCACATATTTTGAAAAGTTTTGAACATGGGTCTGAAGATTTTACCGGTTACTTAACCTAAAATATCCGTCATGCAATGAACTGAAAAATAACACCCGTCAATTATCGCACACACGTAAACAGTAATTAAGCAAATTCAGTTTCATATTATGAAAAACCTTGACTATAAAATCTTCATTGTAGATAAACTTCGTAGGATGAACACAGTTTTTAACTTAACTCTGCACCATAGACTGTTTTTTAAAAAGCTTATAGATGAGATTTGTTAGAAGCTAGAGAGATAGTTAGATGAATTATGCATGAAGATGTTACTTGGTTTCAACCCGGCTTGGGATTCCCCAGCTAAACCGAATGCGTTTATCTCAGAGCGGGAGACATGAGAACTCTCCAGGTCAACAGATTTCACAGCCTGAGTACACTCTGTAACAAACTCCAATGACCATCAATACCCTTTATCGACTGACAGTACTGTTCAGTGTTGAATCAGAGTGGCTACTCCCAAACAATCACTTGTTTACTTCAAATTATGGTTTAAATCTTAACCACTGCCTCCAGAACCAGCACTTCACCAACGCCATATTTTTCAGATGAATATTCAGGTGTTTGAATGAGGGACTTTTTCTCCAGCATCACTTCCTTTTATGCTTCACATCTCTGTGTCTGACCTGATATATTTCTGCTCCACTCTTTAACCACAAGTTCCTCTATCAGCCCTCTCAAAGCCACGCTAAATCACAGTTAACATCATTCCATGCAGCACCTTGCAGAAATGTTGTTCCTCACGTAGGTGTTGAATTCTTCTATATTCGGTATGTGAGCCTTGTTACTGACTCAAACTTGTGTTGAAAGACATTCATCTAATAGTAGTGTAGATGTAGTCTAAGAATGGCAGGTTGTGTGAATTAGCTGCATTAACTGTCAGCAGACGTGGACCACAGAGAATGTTTTGTGAGAAGACACTTCATGGCTGGTATGTAATTAGGACTCTCTCTTGACTCCTAATAACCAACAGCACCTGAGAGACACAAACACTTGAATCAGTAAGTTACAGTTTATTGTCAGGTCTCTGTCTAATACACTGTTTTATTCTTATTGATAATAAACATGGAAATGTACTGTTTGAAACTTGTATTGTTGACACTAATATCTAAAGTAGTATAAAGAACACAGCGTCAACCTATTGCTCCTCTCGACATTTCTTTAGTAGTCTACAAAAAGCCACTAAAAGAGATTTGTTACAATGCCAATATACAATTTAAAATGAGTAATCCACTTTTGATTTTTAAAGGAATATTTAAATGATTTTTATTTGTGACAAGTGTGAAATTATTTCTCCTTTGTTAGCTTAATCTGATTAATGTTTTGGTGATTAATAATGTGCAGCTCTTTGATAACAGTATAGGCAGGCATATATTAGCATTTGCTTCTGTCCAAACCTTTTTATTCAATATATAATGTAAAGACTCTTTAGACTTTGTTTTCCATATTGTTTATACTTTTTGTACAATATATGATGATGTTTGAATAATCATTTCTCAAAATCACTTCTGCTGTTGATGTGTTAAATAATAATGCATGTCTCAACTCATAGATGACTTGTCTGATTGACAGGTGAAATAATCCTGTCCAGGCTTCATTTGTTAATCAGGGTGAGCGTAGGGTGGTGTTGATGCACAGTGGCCCTCTTGTGGCTCTGAGATGTCATTACAGCAAGTCATTCCTTTATCGCAACAAAAATGTTTTTCAAAGAATGTGTCAAACAATTTTGTTGATTCATATTGTGTTTTCAGAATCTGGGTGAAATCTTGAAGCTTTTCTGATCGTGTGAACATGTGAGTTATTGATTTCTTTCTCATCCAGTTAGCAGACTCGATGAGAGAGAAGCAGAGATCAAAAAGGAATATAACACCCTTCATCAGAGACACACTGAGGTGAGTTGTTTGTTTGAGTGAGGGGCATCTGTACTCTGCAGAAAAGAAACAAACTAAAGCTGATTATAGAAGATAGAGGAAAGACAGATTTGGAGGTGCAGTAATAGAATGATGATTGAATAGACTGGAGAAGCAGGTGTGGTTATAACTATAAAAATATGAGTTCTCTGAACAATATTTATGTTATCTGCTGGGCCTTTGGTCCACCCCTGCTTGTTAATTCATTTTGCATCACTAACAGATGCTTCGGTGTCCAAACACACAGGCTCCAGCCGTCAACTGCTTATCTCAGTAATGTTGAATAGAGTCAAATAAAAGCTTTTAACACGTTTGTGAATCTGACTGTCACAGATGTGTCTGAACAGCATTTACTTAGTCAGACAGTGTTAAGATGTTAAGGGTTCTCGTGACCATTTATAATCAAACATGCTGTATTCTGCTAACAACATAGTAGAACAGTATTAACATTAGATATCAATATAATATATGAAAGATGTATATAACTTCTCTTCTGTATACTATTTAGTGTGTAATTGCTGATTCATTGACTTGGTGTTTGTCCTTTACCTCCTAGATGATCCACAGCTACATGGAGCACCTGGAGCGGACGAAACACCAGCATGCTGTGACACCAGCAGAGCCCACAGATACAGGCACAGTCACATCAACCAGGTCACGGTGAGACGACACTTCAAACTGTGTTAATTCATAACCACCGTACTCACACAAACAGAAGTTGCACAGAAGTCTCTGCAGCGTTCAGGTGAGGGGTGGAGCAGGAGGCAGGGCAAACTGTACTAATTATTTTTATTTTCATTGACATTAGGTGTCAGCTCTTATCACCACAAGCTTTCGAATCTCGTTGTCTTTATTTTATTTTTGTTTTTTTCAGTTTTGTTTCTGTTGCCTGTTACAAACATTATCAACACGCCCACTTGCTTAAAGACTATTCACGTACACGTAAACAGATTGTCTACTCGCAGTTGGTTTCTTAGTTACATAAAATAAAAAACAATGACTAAAAGTAAGATGAGGGAATTATTTTCTTATACTGTAAATTAGGTTCAACTTTTTTGCCTTCACCACTGGTTGTCAAGTCATGACTGATGAGAATCAACCAGGAGGCAAATGCGGGTAACTGCATCATTGTTTGCTAACGTCTCAGATTTCAAACTGAAACAGTGCCAACAGTGTTTCCAAACGTCTCCATTTTATTAGCCAATAGCCTGGATACAAGGAGTAAAAGTAGTAGTGTGGATGTAGCCTCACACTATACCCCAGTAAGCCTTTATATCATTTTGAACCCAATTCCTGAAACTCTGTTGATTAAAACTGTATTTAGCTCAATCTTTCACTACACTCACCCTTTCATAAGAAGAATATAAAGTTCAGTATAAAATGGGTTTCAAGACTTAACGAGAAGAATACTTGCAGTATTTTAGGTTTTCAGGTTGGCAACTCTGAAGTGAATCAGTTTTGATGAATCCAAACTTTATCCCCATTCACAAATATCCTCCCACTGGCAAGAAAAAGAAAGATGCCAGACCCGTGTCAGCAGAGACACTGAATGAATGCAAGGAAACTGAATTAACTGGAAGGCAGCATCATTTAAATGCAAAAACAGAACTGCATATAATGTAAAACCGTGTGATTGTCCGTAAAGTTGAACGTGGCTCGAGTGTTTTTAAACGAATTGTCATGATTGCAGACCATACGAAAGATAGACTGTGATTGAAGACAGCAGGTTGAAGATACACTGGGAAGCTGTGGGGCAGATAGAGGATGTTGTAGAGGTTGTGTAAACAGAGGCAGTAGTTTGGCTGCTGTCGGCTGCTGTCGGAGTAATCTGCTTTGATGGGATGATGTGATTTGTGCTTCAATGCTCATTTGCAGAGCAGATTATGAATGAGCACCATGCAGCGGAGAGCCAGGAGGTCAGCAGAACCCCCACTTCATAGAAACATGAATTCCCTTTGTCATTAGGTCGGAAGTATTTCTTTTATTTTGACAATGTGGTTAACACTGATGTACAATTCCCCATTTTTTTGTTTGTTTATCTCATTTGCTTGCTCGCAATGATTGGAATGTCTCTGTGTGGTAGTTTTTTCACAACAATACAGATATTAGCACGCTGTAATAAAACTACAAACACGACCAACATGGAACTGATAACTGATCATCTACAAACACCATGTTCAGAGGTAATCTTAGTACACTCGGCTAGGCTGTGGGAAAGACTACCTTCTGTCATCATCTCCTGTAGTTCAAGAGATATAGTGACATTTTAATGGTTTATTCTTTATGAGGCTACTTCACCTTATCTTTATGGGAAAGTGCAAGTTATTCCTGGACTGATATTCTGTCTCAAACACCATTTATTATGGTCATAAAAGGCTTAAATTTAACTTGTTGAAACCTACAGAAAGATTTTTGATTGATCGTGAAACAATAATCGGTCCGAGAATTTTGGCTATTAGGTGGTCCTTCATGTGTGGCACAAGATGGATTTGCCTTAAAAATGTGTCCACGTGCTATACCACCCCCAAATCTGGTCTAAGTGATCAGATCTCAAGATGAGTTAAAAACGCATTTGGGTGTGTTCACGTCTGTACTTAAAGCTGAACACATGTGATCAGATAACTCAGGTCGGATGTTAATACCAGGTCTGAGTCTGATGCCTCATTAGCAACACTTTCTTTTTACCACCAAAATGAATCACAACTAAACAATTTAAAATGCCATGATATTAAAATGCTAACACCCTAAATTATAATGGTATAGATGTTAACCATCAGTAAGCATTGTTACTGTTAGCATGTTAGCAAGCTTATGTTAGTTTAGTGCAAGAGATTTTTTACATAGGTGTGTATTTTAACGAACATTTATTAAACATGATCTCAATTCAGCTCATTGTGCAACTTGGCTGCACCAATGACAAAGTAGGTTTGGCCGTAATGATTCATTTTTAACAGACAGAAACCACTTCTCATTGTGACATGTGCAAAATAGTTTTCTTACATCCACCATATGTACTGTTGTAGAATTTAATAATACTTTTTTCTTCATATTATGCCGACCCAATCTCTCTCTCTCACACTTCCTATCAGTCTCCCTGTTTTGCAGCCAATCGGCTGTAGCCTGAGAGGAGGCATATGGAACGAGCTGCCTCAGCATCCAAAAGAGGGCGAGGGAGATGAGGAGAGAGAGAGAGAGAGAGTGAGGGAGGGGTGGTGGGTTCTACTTGCAGTGAGAGAGGGCAAGCGTCAGAGTGTTCTAGACTGCACAGCGGCAGCCGTGTCGCATTTTGGCAGAGAATAGGAAGAGTGAAGGAAAAGAGGAGCCGTTGTTACTCTCATCATCTCTCTGTGGATGTGCTGCTGTGTGCTGCTACTGCCCTGCTTTCATCAATCAGTGCTGCTGCTGAAGCCACCAGGATTACTGTAGTTGGGGTCTGCTGCCAGCGGTTGCTCTGCATTTGGCCTGCGCTCACTCTCTGTCGGCTTCACTTCTGAGCTGCAGCATACACTGCTGCCTCCCAGCGACAAGGGTACTTCTGACCTACGGTCCAACCAAAAACAGCAGAGAGAATTTGGCGCTTCAGTGACCCCTCCTCCCATCCAATCTGCTTTCATCACCTGTGCCCCCAAACCCCCTGGACCTCGGGGAGGCACTGGAACGTGACCTGGGGGGGCCATGAGCCCCGGGTGCATGCTGCTGTTTGTTTTTGGCTTTGTAGGGGGAGCGGTGGTCATCAACTCTGCCGTACTGGTCTCTCTGTCAGTGCTGCTGCTGGTTCACTACTCTGTCTCTACCGGCGGCTTACCTGCCCTGCCCTCCTTACCCTCCTTACCCAGACCCAACAGGTACAACTAGTATGTGTTTGTGTGATTTTATTTTACTGCGCAAGTGTGTGAAAGAGATGCACTTTCATTTATTTTGTCTTACTTTGTAGCCGCTGACAATTTGTAGCCATGTAGCCATTTGCCATGTGGGTGTGATATAGTCAGGCAGTATGAGACCGCACACTAAAAGTAGGTCAAGAGAGAGAGGTATTATTGGCAGAGTCAAATCTAGACCCCACACTGCTTGTGATGTTTTTAGTCCTCCAAAGTTTATCGCCATTTATGATTACTCATAAATAAAACATCTTTTCAATACTGAGTGTGTGATTGTACCTCACCAGTCGGTTTAAAAAAACAAAAGGGAGCATTGGTCACCATCAGTGCCCTGCATGTGACCTATCTCTCTCTCTCTCTCTCTCTCTCAATATGGTGGTGTGTCCATTGTTTCTTTTGGGCCTGATGCTTTTCATCAATGCCTGCCGGCTGCTGTTTTCACTGTGGCAGCCATTCTTCCCCTTGCGCTGTACAATATGTTTTTCATACCTAGTCAGAGGAGCTGCTCTTTTCATGGGTCTTGTTGGTCTTTTGGTGTTTAGAGTCGCCAGGGTTTGAATTTAACCACATCCATGCAAATGTGACACTATAGGTGAGTTTTAATAGAATAGTTGTGAGAGAAGGCAGTACAGCATAATTAGAAGTGCTGCCTTTGACACAAAAGACATAAACTAATTAATACACCAACAACAAATAGATAACCAATAAATACTTTAAAATAGAAGAGTGGACCTATGTGTCATTGCATTGAATGGGTATTGTACTTGGAGTCACTGCGAATGCTAACATCATCATCATCATCAAAGTAATGACCTGGAGATGGTAACAGGTGTTTGTTTAGTCCCACTGATGTCTTCCTGTGTGATGTCCTTCAGCCAACACTGAATCCATCTCCGTTCCAGAGGCAGATACAAATTGAATTGTTACTGGCTGAGCTAATAACTGGGAGGTAATGGAGCTTATGAGGCAAGCAGCTTTATTCCTCCTCACACCACTTCAGTGCCAAACGGTCTGAATGGAATCTTTGCTACAACACCTTTCTGTGAAGAGTGTTGTCACACAGCTTGTTTGACTGGTTACCTTATGCTGACCTTCCATTGCCCTGGAACATGGCATACGGAAGGATCCACCTGTTGGAGCATTTGTTCTTGGGGATTTGAAGGAGTCCTCATAATGGGACAGTCTAGTCACGCAGCTGTGACGCATTCAATCTTCAGATGCAGCCAACAAAGGATGCAGCCCCTGAATTGAGACCCTGCTTTTAATGTAGAATATTTTATCAGAAGTATGTTACCTAACTGAATTTTTTAAGTAGTGTGTCCAACAAAGCTCTCACTATGTGTGTAACAACTCAGAAAAGAATAGCTGTGATACAGAAGTCAACAATCCTGTATCACAGTGCCTGAAGATGTACCTGATCCCACCTCAAAAAGGTATAACTGAAAGATGTGAAGTGGCTCAAAAAGGAATGTCTGAGGGGGGCGACCTGATATCTTAAATTTGATGGGGTATACACCCATAGTATACACCACATGGACACAGTTTGACCTCCCAAACACTCTTTTTCACGTATTTCCTGTCCCTGTCCAATAAAATAGAATTGTAGAGGTAGTTGCACCCCTACATCCCACATTTAAGTCTAATCTACCAAGTGTAACTTACTCTGACATTCAGACATGATAGAGTGTGAAATGTGTCCATCTCCCAAACATTTGTATTTTGCTTTCTTTCAAAATTGTCTCTTGTCTTTGTGTGTGACCCTTCACTCTGTTTGTTTCGGTCTCCAGGAAGGAGCGTCCAATCTCCATGGGCCTATTCCAACTTCCTGGGACTGAAGGTATGACCCCTGACCCCCAGAGGGTACCTGTGGACACCCCGTCTGACCCGTGGAGATTCAACAACCTCAGCCACCCACGGTCTAACACTAGCCTAAAGGTATGACACACAGAAAACCGGAGTTTTAAAAAGAACAGCTTCTCTTTATATCATCAGTTATAAATTTTAAAGTTACTGTCAGAAGTTGGCGTGTAGAACTTCCCACGGATCAGAAGGGTGACATCATCCCTAGTTCACTTAAAAGAGGTTGTGTAAACAAAATACAAACACCAAAGAAAGAGTACATTTCTTTTCAGAGAGAAAGGATTGTTCTGTGTGTCCAGAATTTTAAAGTAGTGTGTGTGTGTTGGGTGGCTTGGAGCCCAGAAGGCTGGGGAAGTGGTACCATTCTGGGGCCTGGCTTAACCTCGTGGGAGGGTGGAAAGGACAGAGTCTCTTCACTTTGTTGCTGTAGGAAACCATGCTGCAAGCAAGGCTCCATCATGAATATTAATGACCACGCTTATACAATTTTAATTTATTTGATTTGTTACACTAGGATAGGGTCAGGTGAATATTGCAATGAGTGGGACGGTGGTTTGACTTTTGGTAAAGTATCATTTAAACCAAGTTTTTTTTACTTATTTATATTATTTTATAATTGGCAGTCAAGGTGATTGATAGTTGTTAGACTCCTTTTGAGGACCTCACTAATAGTTCTGGAGTAAAGTAAAGTTGCTATAGTGTTGCAGTGCAAAGCATCCTTCTCCCTCAGTGCCTACACTCTCACAAACACACAATTTTATTAGACACCCTCTGTTTGGACACACAGCAGTGTCTTTGTGTTTTTTCCTCTGACTTGACATTTTTCAAAGATTTACAGTTGGTGAGATCCACCCTCTCACCATGTGGACGAGTGTGTGTTTGTGCGTGCTTGTGTGTGTGCGTGCGTGCGTGCTTGTGTGTGTTTTGGAGGGGGATAGGGAAGGGATGGAATCAAAAGAATAGCAATGGAGGGAAGCTTCCCCCCCATTGGCTGCTCAGTGCTACTATAGCAACAACAGGGTGACAGCAGCATGACAGCAGACAAAAGAGGTGAAAGGAAATACACCCATCAGTGCAGAGAGGAGACTAGCTTGGCTCAGAGAGGGAACAGAGAATGCATCTGTATGGTGGCCGAGACACCTCAATCAAGCGCGGAAAATACGAATGCAAAAGCCACAACACAACTACGAAAGGCACACATTGGAAACACAACCACAATGAAGTTAGCAACAGTGGAAGTTGATTACTGTTGATAAAGTAAAAAACTGTTCAAGCCAGTTGCAGCTTAAATGTAATGACTATGTATTTGAGTTGTCATGATATAGATGCTTGGAATTAATGTACAAGATGATCTTTTTATTCATTGCTTTTAGGTTTTTCGTTAATACCCCAAACAGAAGATCCGAGTTTAGTTATCCTGACTGATATTTATCAGCTACTGTGCTATATATATTAGACTGAAGCCACTGGTATTAGACCAAAATAATACAAGGTTGAAGAATCTGCATGCAACTCAGGACTGATTAGAGTTGGTAAAACCCTGATGTATGATTTGTTGTGTAAAATGATTTTTCTTTCAGCTTGACTGCCAGAGGAAGCAATAGATACTGCTCATTTCTTAGTTGGCTTGTGGGGAAAAAAAAGCCTGTACATCTATCCCACTTAGTTATTGTAGGTTTTAAGCTTTTAAGCTGCCTTTTAGTTTTATTATTTTCACCATACACATTCTACAGCACATCCACTTGCTTTGATTTATGTTTTCTCATAAAAAAAAACATTAATCAGCAAGGTCTTTAATATCCATCATTTTGAGGAGCAGTTCTCCTCAATCAGAATGGAAGGTGAAAGCACGCAGAAGAAATCGTCCAATGAGGAGGCTGATCATGACCAGGTAGATCTGTCTCACATGAAGAACTATAACCCTGGTTTTACCAAACTAACCCAGTTTGTGCTCCATTGACTGCAGTTGTGGTGAAGTGTGATTGTATTCAGTGATGCTAACACACTGGCGCTGGCCTTGCCGCGTATCTCGGTGAAACTGCATGTGGCTGATAAGCCATCGTCATGTCTTCATCTGGCCTTAAATTCATATTTTAACAGTTTTAAGTTGGGTATGAGTTGGGTCAGTGGCTCAAAGCGTCTTAAGACAGTTGGTCTGAAAACTGAAATCAAATGATTCACATTGCCAGAATGAGTATGACTTCAAGAGGCTGCAACATCCTTCCTTCCTTCTTATCTGCATCACAGAGTAAGATTGGCTTAGTTACTAGTTACTCTCTTGGTTACGTGGCATCACTGAGCCTAACATCGATGATCCTGGACACCAAGCACCAAAAGCTGGTTATCATTTGGCCCAGTTATTTATACAGTGACATAGTGAAAACAAGCAGACAACAAATACCCTTACACTTATTCTCAGGTCATATTTTTTTCATGTCCGTGCTGAGCATTGTCTTGAAATTATTCTTCTGTGCTTGAAAAAATTCACTTCCATGCTACATATGCATATATGCCAATACTTTAAACTTCCTTGACACACAAATACAGTAATTACTGTATTCACTTAGCATGTTTGATGGCTTATGCATGAGAAATAACTTACACAAAGGAAAAGTGTATCTCTAGTAAGAAATACAAGTAAAATAATAAAATGAAAATACATTAAAAAAGAATGGGGGGACCAGAGCTATGGCATTACCCATATTAAAAGTGAGAACTTTGAATAAACATTTCTGTTTGCTATTAAGATAAAAAAAAAAATCAAGTCCCTGTCAATCACATTATCAAGGAGTATCCTTAATATATAAAGTTCAAGGTTGTGGTAATATTTATAATATTTTCTTTTTTGAGTTTAATTTGTGAATGGTGTTATTTTTATTTATTTATTTATCTCAATATATCTTTCAACTTGATAATGTTTTCTTTGCTGTGTCATTGTGTGGAGTGTGTGTGTGTGTGTGTGTGTGTGTAGTATACTGTAAGCTGCACATAACCATAGAGCTTGAAGAGAGGGACATTTTCAATGTTACACAAATAAATGTGTAATGTTGGCATCATGACGATCATAGTTCCATGTTCTTATTTCCTGTGTTATTTCCTTTGACTCTTCTTCCTCCCCTCCTTTCCTTCATCTCAAGGATGAAATGACCAGTGTGAATCGCAGAGGCTCCAAAACCAGTTCTCCAAACAACCAATCAAATGTTTCCAAAAGTGGAGCTCCAGTTTCTTCTCAAGCTGGAGAATCTTCTCAGGACGGTACCTCTATATCAAATACCCCCACATCCTCATGCACACTATCTCCTCATGATGGCGCGTCCACCGGCACAAGTTCCATGTCCAGTCACATGGGTGGATCAGCTTCTGCTACACCTCTGTCTACCACTGCTTCAGATGTGGCCATGGAGTCTGTGGACACTCCTCTGCAGGAACAGGAGGCTTCAGACGGGCTCAACAGGAACCTGGACAGGAGCAGCGGAAAGCCGGAGAGTAATAAGAACATCGCAGCGGTGCAGGAAAAGCAGCAGGGTCAGAGTGGACATGACGGTCAGGAGTCTGCTTCTTCTTCTCTCGAAGGTGAAGGTCAATACTGCAACACCTTGAATATCACATTATGTAATCAAACATTTTTCTACCAGTATTTTACTTTTGTCCATATATTTGAAGCTAAGATATTCCTTTCCTCCGGTTTTACTAGACGGAGCAGACAACCTGGAGAAGTCTGAGGTGCAGGCTATCATAGAATCCACTCCTGAACTGGACATGGATCTTGATGGCTGCATAGGAACAAGGTGCGTGACTGGTGGTTAGAGATTTCGTTACCGAAGGAATAAGGCGGGTATTCCTCTCAACCCTAAACTTATGAAAATGTTAAATGCAATATACTGGTATTGATGTTAACTGATATTTAAAAATATTTCAATATTGATACTATATTAAACACATATTGTGTAAATAATCCAGTGCCTCTTAAATCATATACATTCCTGTCCATGGTGATGCTTTTACTGGCTCACACTGCAACGTAGTAGGTATGAGTTGTTACTATTACTATTCTCTTTGAATTAGAACCTTAAGTTTTATTTACAACCCTTGAAAATGAAAGTCCAGCTGCAGAAATGGATATATCCGCTAAATGACATGTAATGTAATGTAATATTGTCAGAAATTATTTTAGCCACGTGACAACCCTTATAGCCATAATAAATAAAATTATCACAGTGCAATATCGCATCTCTCCATCATAGTAACACTGTCCTCTGTCTTGCCCCCTCATGTGTCCACCCTCATGTGTCCATGCAGCACACCAGTTAAAGGCGGCATAGAGAATCTAGCATTCGACCGGAACACTGACTCTCTGTTTGAGGAGCTGTCGTCGGCAGGAAACGACCTGATAGGAGACATGGACGAAGGCGCGGACCTGCTGGGTAAGACACTCAAATCTCTCACAACTTACCATGTGGCCACTTTTACAAACGATTCTCTCCCCCTGTCGTTTTCTCTTAATCTACTTTTCTTTGGCTGTCGGGCTTTACCATCCTTGCAGATGAGTTTTCTGGTGTGTATCAGTTAATTCTCTCCAGATTCCCTAGCTCCTTGTGTTTGTTTCCATTGTGACCTTTTTTATGGGTAGAACATATTATTTTGCTGTGAAACACAGTGTTACATTTAGGCTAGATAGTTAGGCTAGCAGTTGAAACTATTTAACTCAGGAAAAGTGAACCATGTTTTATTGAGTCTCATAAATCTACTTCTCATTTGCATCGTCCATTGCGTGACTCAGATTTCAACTTTCTAGGTAAGAATGAAATATGCTAGTGTGTAGAATAGAAATAGGAAACACTTCTTCACAGATGTAATTTTCAATGATATTATTTTATTTTCCCCTTTCACAAGGCAGCTCGTGATTCTTTGTTGTGTTCACATTATGGCTGATCCTTTTTAGGTATGGGTCGGGAAGTTGAACATCTTATCCATGAGAACACCCAGCTGCTGGAGACCAAGTCAGTGCTTGTTATAATTTTTTTTTTAACCATCTCTGTCTTGTTTATATATGTGGACAGATAATGACATAAAAAACTGGATGAAAAAGCTCCTTATCATTGTTCTATTCCATGTTCTACTATTTAGACTGTATAGGCTTGTTATTGTGGGTCATTAATGACATATTATCACAAAACTGAAGTGTGAGACCCTGAAACATTAAGTAAGTTGTCAGTTTCATAATGCACCTGCAGTTAAGATTGTGGAGCTGTTATTTTCCTGATCTTATTTGAAAATGTGCACTTCAGAGCACTGATTGGTACAAATGATTAAAATGTAATATTATATGACCTGCCGTTGTCTCTACACTTCTCAAAGAAATATTGACATAATTTTGTCCTTCTCCTGTTGCACTTAATTCTAAAGGTTGATGCAGACAATGAGCTAAATTTTACATCTTCAGGAGGACTAATTAATTAATCTGCTTACCTGCTTCATCTCTAACAATCAGGACAGTGCTGCCACCTTCTGTTTAATGAAGATACGACATGAGAAAACATGCTATCATTCACGATTTCATTCATATATGTGTGTTCAGAAACGCTTTGAATGTGGTGAAAAATGACCTCATCGCTCGCCTGGATGAACTGTCCTGTGAGAAGGAGGTTCTTCGGGGAGAGCTGGATGCTGTCACTCAGGCCAAATCTGTACTTGAGGAGAAGAACAAAGAATTAGAGGAAGAACTGAAGAAGTGAGTTACTTTGGAACACAATAAACAAATCTATTTATCTACTGCTTTAAATATTAGATATACTTTATAGACATGGACGCTGGAAATGTTGAAGCCACGTACTCTCTTGCAGGTTTCGAGCAGAGATGGAGGATGCCAAACAGAAAGTCAAGATTGAAAATGAGGATGATGTGAGTCTTTGATCTTTCCTGTGTCAGTTTGGGTATGAATCACAACATTATAGCTTATTGAGGTAAAATAATTCTTGCAAGTATTTTGAAACACAACCTAATAAACTCCATAACAGCCAAGTTCTGTCACATTTACCTGAAACGCTTCATAGCATGTGCCATGTATTGTCTACACACATGCACTCTCACAGATGGTTTTGAACAGTGGTTCACTGGTGTCATGCTTGTGTTGTGCCTACAGAGTGATGTGCCTACAGCGCAGAGGAAGCGCTTCACCAGGGTGGAGATGGCCAGGGTCCTGATGGAGAGGAACCAGTACAAGGAGAGACTGATGGAGCTGCAGGAGGCAGTCAGATGGACAGAGATGATCAGGTAAGACAGAAGAAACCAAGGAAAGTAGTGGACAACATGAAGTCATGGCAAATTAATGATCACTTTTATGTACTAACTGTTGTAATCAGATTTTTTTTTATTGAAAGTCTAATTTTGGAAATTATAGCACACTTGCAATAACAATAATAGAAATATGAGGATCTGGATGCATTGAGAAGTTCTGTGCATTTGAATTGCCGATGGGTGAACTGTAGTCGAATCGTGAGGCTAGTGAAGAGTCACAGCTCTAATTCGAAGTGAATTTTCTTTCCCAGGGCGTCGAAGGAGAATCCAGCTCTTCCAGAGAAGAAGAAATCCAGCCTCTGGCAGTTGTAAGCTCCTCTTTTCTCTTCTTTTGTTCTGGTAACTGAACCTCAGTGTGATCACTTTGTTATTTAAGTGTTTCACTGTTCACTTTTCTTTTTGTATTCCATGTTGATTGGTTGTTCTCCAGGATGTAGGTAAATCTCTGACACGTTAACATGTGTCTTATCTTGACTGCTTCTGACAACAAACTCGTAACAGAGGAGAGCCAGTCAGGAAACAGTGGCTCTGATCTCAGATCTGAGCTGCCACAGTAGTCTTTTGATTCTTTTATTTGCTGTCTGATTTATATGTTGGGACATTGCACTAGTTTGCTGACTGAGGAACTGAATCTGGTAAAGACTGATATTCTGTCATTTGATCCAGGCTCTCCTTTGTTGAGTTTAACCAGGAATGACTTTGGTTTGGTTTGAAGGACTGTTATCTGGGGGCAGATATTTTGGCTAAGAGGTTGCTTTGCTTATAAGAGAAACAAATTCTGATAAATCCACTGTCTCCTCTGCCCTGTTTCTGTGTGTCCCTCTATATTCTGCCTGGCATTGTGGCGTCTGTGCACAGGAGGTGTGTTGGCAGGGTTACTTTAGTGATGGGAGAGAAGGCAGAGAAATGGGGTTAAACTTAACACTTGAGAAATTAATATTATGTATAGGTTTCAGATGAACACCATCTGTGTCTTAGTATTTAATAGGATTTTGGTAAATCTGTTGCTTCTACTAAAACTGATAGATGCATCATTATATTTCACAGTAGAGTTAGAAGAAAATGAAGAGTGTGGTTTTTTTGCCAGGCCATTTTTGCTGTTCGTCGTTCACTAACATCCTAGTCAGTGCACATTATTAACCTCGCACACCCTGCTCTCCAATAGTCTGAGTGGACATCAGCTCTGATGCTTTGCATTGTGGGCGACAGGTCAATGACTTCATGAGTAGTTACTATCAAAATGAATATTGGTTACCTGCTACCTGTATGCAAGCTGGCATGGTGTATTAGCATGGGGGAGGTCTTTTTACCCTTAAATGTTGATCCCTGCCTTTTGCTGCTGGAGCTACTGCTTTTGTCCACCCCTCTATATGTTTGTTTGTGTGCTTCTTCTTTTTTGTCTTGTCCTCCCCACTTCCCCGCCCTTACACCTCCAGTTTCAGCCGTTTGTTCAGCTCGTCGGGCGGAGCAGCCAAGAAGCCGGCGACGGATGCGGCAGTGAACGTCAAGTACAACGCGCCCACCTCTCAGATTCAGCCATCCGTCAAGAAGAGGAGCACCACCCTGCAGCAGCTGCCAAGTGACAAGAGCAAAGCTTTTGATTTTCTCAATGAGGAGTAAGTCACTCAGGGGAGATAATGATGGTAATATCCGGCACTGTGACCAGGGCATCAAATTCCCATTGACTTTGGAATTTGAAAATCTGATAAAGATTTCATATTTTTATTGTTTATTTCACTCAAAGCAACACTGTGTAACTTTTTACCTTAAAAAGCAGCTTCAAATTAGTTTGATTACTAAATGAACAAGGGCATGTTGTAAAAACACACATTAATGCCTTTCATTAATGCCTGCACATCAGTCAACGTGTGATTTTAGTTAAAAAGTTAATTATACACAAAGTGAAATTATTAAAAATAAAACATGAATACACCAAAATATACAGAACTTGAAATAATAAAATAAACATATTTCTATGCCAAATAGAAAACGTAAATGCACATCCCTTTAATCAGCCAACTGATCAATAATATGAGCTCTAATAAATAGCGATGTTATATATTACAGATGTGAAAGAAGCTTCAGTAACTTCTCATCATTGGTTTAGGTTTGGCTGTTAAATTGAAATCCCTTGCACCATGTTGTCAATAATCAGTTCCAATGGATGTGTAACTGTGTCTGTGTATGCTCCCCCCTTGTCTGACTGATCATTACAATCAGACACTGAATTGAGCTTTGTTTTTATAAGAGTTTCAACAAATTACTTTAAGGTTTCTATGGGAACCTTAGAATGGACCCTATTAGCAACTTATATAGGTGTGGTTTTGTCCCTCAGAGTGGCAGCTGATAACGTGGTGTCCAGGCGAGAGCAGAAGAGAGCGCAGTACCAGCAGGTCAAAGCTCACGTCCAGAAGGAGGACGGCAGAGTGCAGGCGTATGGCTGGAGCCTGCCCAAGAAGTCCAAAGTAAGAACATGGGCACCTAGAGGAACTATGTATATTCAGTCTGCTGTTGTGGTTATTGTAGAATTACAATGTGATGTAAACTGTAAGAGAATTAGGATGTCACACAGCAGTGTCGTGTTTTGACTCTGCAGGCAAATGGAGGTCAGGCAGAGAGTAAGATGAAGAATCTGCCTGTTCCTGTCTTCCTCAGACCACTGGATGAGAAGGATGCTTCTATGAAGGTAATTTCAATATTTATTATTGTGTATTGCATGGAATTATGGGTAATTTGCGTTGTCTAAGCTATGATTGTTTCTTAGCTGTGCTGCATATCTCTCAATAGTTTCTTTGTATTTTAGGAATGCATTGTCATGTCTCACTGTAATCTCATTGTATTTGACTGCATGTCCGTGCTGTAGCTGTGGTGTGCTGCCGGTGTGAATCTCTCCGGAGGTAAAACCAGAGACGGAGGTTCGATTGTAGGAGCCAGTGTGTTCTACAGTGATGTGCCTGGACCTGAGAGTCCCAAAAAGAAGAATGGGTCTCAGAGCAGCCTGGACAAACTGGATCAAGACCTCAAAGTACACACACACACACACACACACACACACATTCCTGCTTGTTTCAGTACAGCGTTTCCTTCATGAAAGAATTAAACCCATCATACCTGAATACTTAGAGTATCAAGTTTATTTTTTAAACAAGGAACCTTTGTTCAAAAAACACGTGACTTAATTTTTACCTGGAGTAGGCTGAGATGCATCATTCGTCTTTATATACAGTCTTTGTCACATTCATGCAATTTTTTCATGTTAACAAAACTCCTCCACATATAAAATCTGTTGCAGGAGCAGCAGATGGAGTTTCGGCAGCAAGAGGAGTTATCATCACTGGTGTGGATCTGTACCAGCACCCAGTCTACCACTAAAGCTGTTGTCATTGATGCTAACCAACCTGGAAACATACTGGAGAGCTTCTTTGTTTGTGACTCCCATGTCCTATGCATCGCCAGCGTTCCAGGTCAGTGGATGGATATACGTGCATCCCGGTTGTGCTACCAAGTCACTAACATTCCCCTGAAATTATCAGGAGGGGCTGTGTGTGAAAATGTCCAAGCTGTGTTTTTCATATGTGAAGTCAAATTGGCAATTTACAGTGGGTCTGGAAATTTTCCAGAGTTCATTCTGAAAATGACTGCAGTGGAAGAGATGGTTTATTACTGATACTTGGGTGAATAAGTTGTTTTGCCTTCAGTGGCCCACAGAGGAACTGCATTAGCTCTGGGGGACAGCATGCTTTCCATATTTATTTGCTTGTTTATATTTAGGTGCAAGAGAGACTGACTACCCAGCTGGTGAGGAAGTACCTCCAAACTCTGAGGCAGGACCAGTGGGAGATGGCAGCTCATTAGCAACCAACAGCAGCTCTGCAGGTGAAGACGGCGTGCTCGGAGGCATCACTGTCGTGGGCTGTGTGGCTGAAGGATCAGCCGCTATTCCTCAGACAGCAGATAGCCCTGGAAAAGATGGAGAAACTGGTAATGTGTTAGCATCCACAAGTGACAAAATAACCTGTAAATCGAACACAAATATGAGTCGACAGAGTTTACTGAGAGATCGTGATCTCTGTAGAATCCAGAACAGCAGAAGAAGCCACCGAGGCGACCGAGGCCAGCGCAGGGCACGCTGACCACAGAGAAACCCTGAGGGGTGTCTACACCGAGCACATCTTCACCGATCCACTGGGAGCTAAGCCCACAGCAGAGGCTCCAGCCAACTACACTCAGAGGTAACATCGGGTGGCCCATTACCCAGCACAGAGTTATCACACTTCAGTCTGTCCAATAAAACTGTTTTATCAGTGCAGCCATAAATATCCACTGAGGAACACCATCAAATCATTGTAAAACATTTACTTGGTTCATGAATCACATTTAAATATTTGTTTCGTAGTAAAATATCACTGCAGGGCATTTAACCTTCAAGCCAAACTGTGTGGGTGTGTCTGAGTAACATTGCATCAGATACAAAACCTGTGAAAAAACAATAAAAACACTGTCTGTCATGGAATATAACATCAAATAACTATATTTGCTCAAATGATTATGCTATTACATTAGCAATATATCAGTGGTATAAAATGGTTTGAAAATGATGACAATAATATAATTTATCACATTTACTGGGCCAAGAATGTATCATCCAACAAGATTTTTTAGCGCCTACCTACCTTACTATTTTTCATTATAATTATTATTATAAAGACATTCATATCCCAGCAAAATTGGTATTGTACAATGAAATATCCTTCTCCGAATCGATGTTGAATCCAATTAAGAGCTTGTGAACCTAAGTTCAAAACTTTTCAAAATAAAAGCTATGAAATTCAGCTTGATATAAAGCATTGCCAAACGAAACAACCGTTGTGCTTTTACCTTGAAGACAAATTTCCAAAGAGGAAGTGATTTTAAGAATGTCGTGGCCATGGCAGAGATGAGCACCTGTGACACTTGTGACACACATGTGTGGGGAAAAAACTTGATTAAATTGAGCATGAATATAAATCAGCACAGAAAAGACAGTTAACTCTCATAGTAATAGATGTGATGTTGTCTCTGACCAGGGAGAGTGATCTGTTGAAAGATGGTGTAAGTTCAAACCCCACAGCAGAGGAGCAGGACCTGATGAGAGAGGAGGCTCAAAAGATGAGTAGCGTCCTGCCCACCATGTGGCTGGGGGCACAAAATGGATGGTGAGTGTGATTTCTTTTGGGATTTCTTCTTCTGTCCAACACATTTCTGTAAGTGTCCAGATTTCAAGAAATCTGATGACTGAGAAAGTTTTTCTGACTCTAGTGTGTACGTTCACTCCTCTGTGGCCCAGTGGAAGAAGTGTCTCCATTCCATAAAGCTGAAGGACTCTGTGCTCGGCATAGTGTGAGTATACTGAAATGATTGACAACTGTGAGCTTTACACATGTGGCCCATTACTTCATTTAAACCTCTGATCTCTGAAAACACGCGTTTCTGTCCCACAGACATGTGAAAGGACGTGTACTGGTCGGCCTCTCCGATGGCACTCTAGCCATATTCCACAGAGGAGTGGGTGAGTGGACATGAGCTGCGACTCTTAAAACATGATGTAAAGATATGTCAGTCAGTAAAGATTTATGTAAATGAGGCTGGGGGACACATTTCATCAATTTGAAATATTTAAAAAACCTATATTATTCGAATGCTGTTATTACCATAAAAATGTAATGTATTTAAGAAATATGTTGTTTCTGTGACTCGGCTGGAAATATTGAAAAAGAGATTGAAGATTCTTGACTGCCCTACAACACAGTGGGTGACTGGGACTCAGGAGGGAGAGCAGGTCGTTTGATCCCTGGTTCTTTAGTCTGCTCGCTGTATCTCATCTGGTCGAAGGGATGCTGAACCCTAAAATAACCTCTGGCAGCTGTCCCATCAGTGTATGGATGGTGTGTAATAGAAAATGTGCTGTGTATAGAAGCACTGTATTAATGTGTGTGTGTGTGTGTGTGTGTGTGTGTACCTTCCATCAGATGGACAGTGGGACCTGACAAACTACCACCTGATTGACTTGGGGAGACCGCACCACTCCATCCGCTGTATGACTATTGTACATGACAAGGTGTGGTGTGGCTACAGGAACAAGATTTACGTGGTGCAGCCCAAAGCCATGAAGATCGAGGTATGGTCAGATTCACCCTTTGAATGTAGAATGTTTGATGAGTGTTAGACACAGACACTGAGCTGAAACGAGAACCTTCGCTGTGCTTTTATCAAAGACATCTTTTTTACAGCAAGTATTTAGAAACATGAAGAATAGCTCAGTCAATCTCCAATATTCAGCAAAATTTTAAAACAGAGTTTGGTGTATTTGTTACCGCAGCAGCTCTTCTGCTTCAGGAAGCAATGGATCATGGGTAATATTAACATTAATATTGAGTGGGACTACACAGCCAGAGCTCTGGTGGAGAGATTGACAGACTTGTTCGCTCAATAACGGTTTTTACAGAATGAATGATCATCACTTGTGGCTGCAGAGGGCGCTGTTGCTCAGTAAAAGTTCCATCGTGTTTTAAGCTGCGTGACGTCAGGATTCCTTCCTGCCCTTTTCTTTAATCACACGTCTCTTGTCTGCACGTTCTCCGTCCTCTGCAGAAGTCATTTGACGCCCACCCTCGTGCGGACAGTCAGGTGCGCCAGCTGGCCTGGGACGGTGATGGGATCTGGGTGTCCATCAGGCTGGACTCCACGCTCAGGCTGTTCCACGCTCACACCTACCAACACCTCCAGGATGTCGACATTGAGCCCTACGTCAGCAAGATGCTGGGTCAGTTCACTTCCTGTTATCAAGGTGGTTTTACAGACTTTTTCCTCTTTAAATCTGGTTTTGAATGTGTTTTTAATTCCTGTTTCTCAGGTACAGGGAAACTTGGCTTCTCATTCGTGCGGATCACAGCTCTCACGGTGTCATGTAATCGTCTGTGGATCGGCACTGGAAACGGAGTCATCATCTCCATCCCTCTAACGGACTGTAAGTTCAAGAGCTGGGATATTTCTTAGTAAATAATTGTTTACATTTTTGACCAAAGGACGCACATAAACAATTGCACATCACAATTTATATCTCTCTTTCTTTCTAGAGAAACACTTAAGTGGTCAACTGTAAAGAATAGAGAATAAACTATAAACACTTTCTAGCCATAAAACAGTTTTTATTCCTTTGAATATGAAAACCCCCTTTTTCAATGTGTATGACCGTTAATAGATATGTTTCATATTATATAGTGAAGTGAACTGTTGATAATCTCCTATTTAGACAGAAATCTAATATATTCATCACAATGAAATGGTTTTAACAGAATAAATTGTCCCATGTACACATTATCTCTGAGCTGGATTAGGTAAATTCAGGACTCTGAGTTAACTCTCTCACACTCACTGTTTCATTAGCAGCCACCAAGGCAACAAAGGCAGCAGGTAACCAACCAGGAAGTGTAGTCCGTGTCTATGGCGACGACAGCGGCGACAAAGTGACAGCAGGGACATTCGTTCCATACTGCTCCATGGCTCATGCTCAGCTCTGTTTCCATGGTCACCGGGATGCTGTCAAGTTCTTCACTGCTGTCCCAGGTAATGAACCATGCATTTTGCTGATATATACTCTGTCATTTACTTACCACCAGGATTTTTCTAAGCCATACGATGACAGTGTGAAAGTCCCTTGGTCGTCTGTATCTGTCTCGTAATACAAGGTTTTGCTCCAACACTGCTGAGCTACTCATAATTTCAGATTAATGAGCAGCTGAGATCAGTTCATTTTACGATGAGAAGAGCTGAATGTGATCAGCAGAAAAACACAATGTGGATATTTCTGGTGTTCTTCACAGTTTGTGTGTCTGTCCACTCAGGTCACGCAGTTCCATCTGCGTCCTGTGGAGGAGAAGCAGGAGGTGACAGGGCAGCAGATGCCTCATCTCAGGAAGGAACCAAGTCTATGTTGGTGATGAGTGGAGGAGAAGGTTACATAGACTTTAGAATGGGTGAGTTTACGACATGAAAAGTTATTATTTATAATAATGACATTGCTGCAGTAGATTTGGGAGAACATGCCGCCTCTGTGTGTCTTTAGGTGACGAGGAGGGCGAGGCAGAGGAAGGAGAGGATGCCCCGATGAAACTGCAGCCCTTCCTGGCCAAAGCCGAGCGCAGCCACCTTATCGTGTGGCAGGTCCTTGGAAACGAGGACTGAAGACTGACCTTTGACCCCTGATGCCCAATTTGCCTTTTTCTTCTCAAACCTGCAGCAGCGGAGGAGGAGTTCAGGGGAGCGACTGCCCTCTGCAGCCGCAGGTTTAATCAGCACTTTTTTCCTCCTCCTCCTCAAACCTGAACAATAAGCGTGAAACAAGCAAAAACTGCTCTGAGAGCTTTTTCTCTTTGGTAAACTGGAGTGGAGCAGTTCAAACACAAACTGCATGGTATTGTTTTATTATTACTTGTTTTCTGTTTTGTTTTAAGCAGTTGAATATCAATCTGTTTGTCTTTTAATATAATTTGAGGTAAAGCTGTTGACTACACAACCAATACTTTGCTTTTGTTACATTTGATCAGCAAATACACCCAGGTTCCCTCCACTCAGTCCAGTTACTGTGTGCTGATGCTCAATCAGTTGTTGAAAACAAAAGATAATCACCCGTAAGTTCCCTTGTTTTCTATCATCACAATCTGTGCATTAATGAAAAATGCCCTCGCAGTGCTAAAGAAAAATCTTTAAATGCTAAACATTGTAAACATCCCCACTAAACACTGACACGCCAGATTTGTCATCGTGAGCATGCTGGCAGCTTCACACAGGCGGTAGCTGTTGACTCAGTCTTACCCAGACATCACTAGGTTTTTATTTTCCACAAAATCTGATGCTCTGTGTCTTGAATGAAATGATCATACATGAGAAGCACCCACTGGTGTTATAGGATCAGTAGCAGTTAGCTTTTTAATCATCAAAACTCCAGCTGCTGTAAACCATGACATACTCAATCCCCCCTTCATATAGGATACTATTTAATTCAATATTAAACACGAGGATGCTATCAACCCTCTGCTGCTCGTCTACCCGTCAGCTCCAGCTAGTAGACTCTTTAAAATCTGCCTTAGGTGTCGAGGTTTGAAAGCACTGAGATTACAGGCTACTTCAGGTGTGACAGAGTATTTATTTTTCTTGAAAGAATGTCACGTTTGCTACCAAAGGTTAAAGAACCAGAGATCGACAGTTTGCTGAAACAATAACTGTGTCGCTTCTAACACAGCCCTTCTCTGCAGTGTCCCTGTAGATAACACGAGAGATTGTTTTGTAACTGAAATCCCAGCGTAGAGATGAGATATATTTTTAGACTTTCTTATTTGAAAATTGAAATATTTTGCGGTTGCGAGAGAAGAGAATGTGTTGGACCTGTTACTATAAGAGGATAAAACAAGCCGTCACACCGAGCGTTACACAACCTCCCCTCTAATCCTCATCTCGGCATTTTAGAGGTCAAATCTTTTTTGTTTTTGTAGCGACGCTCTGCCCCTCCTTGTTGATGACAATGTTTATTTTACTTTCTCAGTGATATCCCCTCCTAATAGAAAACTGATGATTTCAGAAAATGTTTTAATCCTATTTTTACGTTTGATTTATTTTTTTTTTTGTATCTTTAAGACTGTCCTCTCTGAGAGTACAGTGCACAAGCTGTTTGTTTGAGACTGTTTTCTGGCCTCTGTTTACCAGTACACTGCACTGGTATGTTGTGTTGTTTTGTCCTCTTTGTATTGAACAGTATCAAAGAGGCTTGTCCTCATCGTTTGTGAGTGTGTGTGTGTGTGTGTGTGTGTGCGTGTACATGTACGTGTGTGTGTGCGTGTGTGTCTGTCTTCTCTCCAGGAGAGGAGAGAAATATTATGTTTAGCCATTTCAGTATTTATTTACAATGATTGAGCCTTTGCAATTCAGAATGTATCTTTGTACATTGAATATGAATATATATATATATGATTATATATGTATGAACCATGAAAATGGCTTGAGTTTATTGTTTTGACAACAGTTGTCGCTGCTGTTGGAATGATGAGTTTGTTTTGTAGGGGGTAACTTTCTCAGCTATGCACTATGTCTCTGAGAAGAGAGGACGAGGAGTGGGTCGGGGGTCGCTTTGTGCCTGTTTTTCAAAGTAGAGACTCTGCAGCCTGTCCACACTGACACAATCAGTTTCATTGTCTCCGATGCAGGACAAACAAACCAAACTGAACTTCAGGCAATGAAAAGGAAACGCCCCCCCATCACAACATGCAGGGGTCGTCCCTCTCACCCGCTCATGCTCGCCTGTGACTCGGCAGTTGCTCCCCCTGTCCTTCGTCGGCAGTACAAACACCATCTTGTACATCTGCAGCATTTCTAGCCTTACTTATTTTTAACATTTAATTAAAGCAAATTTTGTGGGCTAATTTTTTGTGTTCTTGTTAAATTTGTGATGCAGAAACATGTAGATCGGCATTCAGGGGTAGAACAAACAATATTGTCAGTGATGACATTAAGAACTCATTCTATTCAACAGTCTCAGTAACGTGGCAGTGAGGCAGCGCAACCAGCATTCATTTTATATTGTTTTTTATTTGAACCTGTGATTTCACTGTCACCTACTGAGACATGTCAAAATGTCTTCTGGGAAAAATCTCTACCTTTGATCATGTGTGACTAAAAGCAACGTTACCAGTTAAACCAGGCTAACCTCATTAAACCATTTTCTGTAAAGCTTGTCCACGCTACTGACAATTTTTTGGGAACTGATATTCTCCCCTTTAATTAAAAAAAATCTCTGTCCACATGATCTTTGTAATACAAAATATTTCTCTCCAGACAAGAAAAAAGAGAAATGCTCAAACAAGCGTGCTTGGCCAGTAGGTGGCGATATCGCACCCAGATGAGGTAGCAGTCTTAAGTGTTACCTCAGGGTTCAATCACCAGTGTTAACGCCACATATTGGTGGTCACAGAGCTTTACTGCACAGTTTTCTCAATACATCACCTATAAACTGACACCAGCAAAGTCTGCAGGGAAATTTCATGTCCGATAATTTGCCCAAGGACACTTCAGCATGTTGGGGGGAGACTGGGATTGATCCACCGAACATACTCTTCCCCCTGAACCACAGCCACCCTAATTACATAGTATGGATGCCCATTTCTTCTGAATCTCCCTCTTTGACTTCAACTCAGTTACACACATTTTTCTTTTATAAAATCCACTAATTATTCCCTGAGAAAATAACAAAAATCTTGCAATGTTAACAGAAGTGACTAAAAGGAAAACCTGGATCTGTCCCCATATCCGGATCTGCAGCAAAGTTGGACGTCTTGGCCCATGTATCATCCTTCCACCAATTTTCCTGGAAATCCGTTCAGTTATTTTTCTGTAATCCTACAAACAAACCAAACAAACAAACAAACAAACCCACAGGAGTGAAAACAACCTCTTAGGCAGCGGCAAAATAACCATGTCTTTCGACTGAGGGAGCCACAGTGTCACATCCATACAGGAAGGGCGATTCAGATTCAAACCCAGAACCATTTTGCAGTGACCACTACACCACTGTGTCGTCCTTCATAAAATATGGTTTATTTATTTTTGTAAGATTGCACAGTCCTGCAGTTGACATGTGGATTTAAATGCACGGCACTTTCCCCATTTGGTTTGCTCATAAATCTCTGGAATGGAAATTCAGGGTCAGTCAATTTGAGGGTGTAATTGAACCATAAACAGAATGTTATGTCACTTGTGCAAAGTTTGTGGTTTATTTGATCCTTTTTTTCATTACTTTAAAACCACTAGGTGGTGTACTTGATCTACAACCTCACAGTGTTTTCCCGGTGACTTTAGTGGAAGGACAGAGGCACTCCTCCCCTGCATGTGATTGGTCCGCCGCTGTTCTATTCAGGGCCTCAGTTTCAGCCCTTTGAATGAGGCTGAACCGGTGCTTAGCAGAGCTGAGAGACTGATAGAGAGGCTTTAATCGCCTCCCGAGCTCTTAGCACCACACCCGGCTGTCATGGATCACAGGAGGTTAAGTAATAGTACACAGATACAGCAATGGCTGGTGATTGTGGTGGAAATCATAACAGATAACAAGAGAATTGTTTCATCCTGTAAATTTCACAGGTTTCAAATGGAAAAAAAAGAAAATGAAAAAGTGTCAATGGTAGGAGGAAGGAAGGATAGTAGGTTTGTAGGTAGAATGGTTGGTATGTTGGTGGGTCAGTCGATCAATCAGTTGGTGAGTAGGTAGGTTTCAAACACAAGAAAATAAATACAAATAAAAAGTTTAGATATAGGTCTATATATATATATGCTGATAATACTAATATAGAATTCATACATACACACATTGCATACAATACAGTTTATATATCAATGCATTTGCACACACACAACGCAATCACCATTAACATGATTAACCAATGAATCAACAAGTGATATTATATAAACATTACTACCCCAACAATTTACTGACATTTTAAATCTACCCAATACAATGATCCTCCTGAGTTTCCATCATACATTTTTAAAAAAAACATCACCAATAACATTACATTTTAAATCATCGTCTGATTTGGACGTTAGAAGCATCATAACAAACTCAACAAACTAGAATCTGAGACAATGTTTTTCTTCTTCTTCTGTTTCCTCCTCAACAAAACCTGGTTCTCACAGTACATCACCCACAATTCAACATGACCCATGTTTGAGCCAGTTCTTCTGTAGCCTGCAGCTACATTTGACTATTTAACACTTTTATCCATAAAACAAACTGTTATTTTATGACAGTTTTTACTCTTTGTTAAACACAAACTGTTTCTGTATTTCTCTTCGTGTTCAGCTTCTCTTGAATCTTCATTTCATAAACTTTAATTTAAAACCACTGTGAGGACTCAAGAAAGGTCACAAATGTTTGTACCAGTCTTGCAAGTACAAGTAAATTCTGTGGTGTTTGCATAAGCAGGCTAACAGTACCACTCCACAGTCTGCTCTGCAGTTATGTAAGGCTGCCAGATGGTGGCTCTGGGGATGGCAAGGGGGTTTATCCAGGTCCCTCTAATACCACAGCAGAGGTCTGTTTATAGTAACACAGCTGCCCTGAGGTATCGTCCTGCACAGAACATGTGTGTTTGTATATTTCACAGGTCATACGTGTGTAACGTGGTAACGCTGGTGTTGCTCAATTCCACCACAAGGAGAAAGAAATGGAGTTCATCTTCCCCTCTTATTTGTTGTGGTGCTACTCAGCATGAACCATGAGTAATACACACACACACACACAC